TATCCTGCATTGTGTCTTTGACTATAAATCAAGAATGGGACATTTATTAAGGGCTTTTTACAATACTAGAGGGAAGACTGCAAGTGTAAAATGCATCTTTGTTAGCACAAACATTTACATGCATTTGAGCCACATTAAGTATTTTAAGATTTGTCCTCATAGATGTATATCCTCATAGACCTTCAGTATTGATTTACAGTAATTTGAGAGTATGCAATATTATGATACTACAGTATTGGGTTACTTTATTTCGATGGTCCTCTTTAGACATTCTACTACCTATAAGTAACTTTGCAACTACATGTCAACTATCTCTCACTAGAGTATTAGTACACTGTTATTAGACTGTTAGGGTTCGGGTTAGTAGAATAATTTGACATGTAGTTGCAAAGTTACTTATAGTCAGTAGAATGGCTGTTGGGGAGCATCAGAATAAAGTGTTCGTATATTAAGCAGACAGTCTACTAATACTCTAATGACTGCTAGCTGACATGTAGTTGCAAAGTTACTATCTATACTGGACCACAGAAATAAAGTGTTACCTTGGGATGTTCCATGAAAACATGCCGGCAAAGTAAATGCTCTTACAAAAAGTACTTTTTTTAGTACCAAGGTGATGTCACTGTGCCTTTGTATAAGTGGAATTTAAGTTCTTCAAAGAACACCATGGAATTACCATAATGTCCAAAAAACATGGTATATTTAATGTTAATACCATGGTGTTTCTTGTCCAAAGGCGGCATTGCATGTACCCGTCATAGAGAAGCCAATCATATAATGCAATTGAGAAAATACAAATCCAAAATTATAGATGAATCCAAGCAAATTTTGTAAGTATTGGTAAAAATAGTTCAATCTATTTTACCATATCTTTGTATGCTTATTAGAGTATTGTGCCATTAGCTTAGCAGTATGGCAATGCAAAACTCTATTGAAATGCATACAGCAATCACACTTCACAGTCAAGGCAGCTGTCTATAGACAGTAGAGAGCGAGTCCATCAAGCTGAAGTAATATGAGTAATGCTGGGCTCTCAGAGCTGGAGGTTAACTGTTCTGACCGGCCCACTTAATCTTGTTTTGCCACTTCAGAGCTTAATCAGCAAATGCCTGGAGGAAGTGTTTTATAAAGCTCCACAAAGAGTTTGAAGTACGGTAGCTGTCATATACTCTCCCACTCTCTTACGACTCTCATTCTCTTTTTCTGTGCATGTAAGATCCCTCAGTATAGTAGGTTTTTTTAGTTTTTTTTTTGCATTAGTGAGTGATTAATATGGCTTGTAGACTGTGAGAACTGTTATATAATGTATTTTTTTACAGGCTTGGACCTGGGTAATATCTAGAGACCATATTGTAGATTTACATCGTATAGAGACCTAGCAATGCCCTACAGTGCAAAAAAAGATTTTCTAAATCCGTATTTTTGTCTAGTTTTCCATTACAAATATCTAAACATTCTTAAATTTGGCATGAAATGGAAGTTGCGTTACTATTTTCTTCCCTATTATGATGTATATTCAAGTGAAACAGTTTCTTGAATAAGAAAAATGATGGCCGGGGTTTAATTTTGTCCATCAGGGATTGATTGGATGGGTGTGGTTTGCTATTGGTGGATCTCATGTGAGTGACAGGTTGTCCCGCCCTCGCGCCAGTAAACACATCACCAGAGAAGAGAAGAGATGTTGCTGCAAGAGGAATGAGAAGTTATTTCGATTAAAGATTAGATCAGATTAGAGCACATAAATAAATAAAAAATGATGTGCACAGATAAATCTTTTATAATAAATACTGCAATATTCCATAGAAAAAAATAATTGTCCATTTTGATTTCATGGTGACTTGAAATCTAACATGCATTAACTTGAGAAGGAAAAATATATCAAAATAAGTGAGTTTATGGTTAAAACAAGAAAATATATCTGTGAGTGGATTAAGAAAAATAATCTTGTTTTCTCTTTGAATTACTTTTACTTTCTTGTTTGAAGCAAGAACTCACTTAATTTTGATTTTTTTTTTTTCTTCAGAAAACAAGACCTCATTTATGGATAGTTCACTCAAAGATGAAAATTGTCATCATTTACTCACCCTCAAGTTGTTCCAAAACTGTATGAATTTCTTTCTTCTGCTGAACACAAAACAAGATATTTTGAAGAATGATGGTAACCAGACAGTTGATTGAAGCCATTGACTTCCATCATATTTTCCATAGAGATATTTTCCCCCCCAATACTATGGAAGTCAATGGGGCTCATCAACTGTTTGGTTACCCATATTCTTCAAGATATATGTTGTGTTCAGCAGAAGAAAGAAAGTCATACAGCTTTGGAACAACTTGAGGGTGAGTAAATCATGACACAATTTTCATCTTTGGGTGAACTATCCATATATTAAGTCATGTTTCTTGTCAAATCGTGTTGTAATCATATAAAAGCGGGGAAACATTTAAGACACCTTCGTTTACATTTTATTTTACCTGTACTTCTTCCGCTTTTTAATGTTTTTAAATGTACTTTCACTGATGATATATTTATAATGGATAATGACGCTTCATCTCTGGCAGTGAGAGATACGGCTCTGATCCCACTTTCCAGTGCTTTGTTTAGCCTGGGACGTGAGGGTGAAGAGGGTTTGGAAAGGGGGCAGGGGAAGAGAGTCGACGCATAAATATGTATGAAAAAAGTCTGCGTCTGCGAAATGAATGTCCCTCGAGACTCGTACAATCCAACATGCATGCACACACACACACACACACACAGCCCTTCCCTGTAATGCTGATTCAATAGCGCAGGGACTGTCTGTCTGATCTTCAACACTTCGAGACAGAATGAGCCGCTCCTTCTGGATTAGTGTAGACACCGTGGAGAGAAGGGAATGATGGGTTGGAATCTTAAGAGATGCTTCCTTGATTCAGAGATTTTGAGAAGGTTTTTGGGTGCACTGCTGTATAGTGGATATGATATTCTTCATTTGCAGCTGCAGTACTGCTGGCAAAACAAAAGTCTTTGTCAGTATGAAATGAAAATTCACATCTGTTTTCGAAATGCATGTTATTGATCTTATTGTGAACAATTCATCCAACCGTCATGGTTTTTTACCTGGTCATTTTTCATCAATATGTCATAATTTGACATGATGACAAAATAATTCTTTCTGATGACGTATACTGAACAATTATTTGTAAACCCCGTCCCTTTCTTACAATCGACTGCAAGCTCACATTCAGATCTGTCACATTACAAAAGAAAAAGCTGCTTTTGTTTCATCGTGACTTTAAAGGAACAGATCATCCAAATTGTGAGTAAATTATTTAAATCATTATTTAAAGTAGTAGGTCATCCAGGGACTTTTCGCCTGTTTTATGAATACTGTATTCAGACATACTACTTGGCTCACATTCTGTTTTGTGGGTATAAATGTATATATATATATATATATATATATATATATGTATGTATGTATGCATGTATGTATGTGTATGTATATATATATATATATATATATGGATAATATATATGTGACACCACAAAATTCTGGAATCTGAGGGTACAAAAAATGTAAATATTGAGAAAATCGCCTTTAAAGTTGTCCAAATGAAGTCCTCTGTTGCTGCATCCAGCAAAAGTAACTTTGACATATTTACGGTAGGAAATTTACAAAATATCTTCATGGAACATGATCTTTACCTAATATCCTAATGATTTTTGCCATAAAATAAAAATCGATCATTTTGACCCATACAATGTATTGTTGGCTATTGCCACAAATATACCTGTGCGACTTATGACTAGTTTTGTGGTCCAGGGTCACATAGATGGATAGATGGATGGATGGCAGTTCAAATGTGTTTAAAATGACATGAGGGTGAGTAAATAATAAAAGTCATTATTCGATATTTTTTGCATGATCTATTCCTTTAAAGCCGCCACTGTCACATTTTACAAACACTAACAATTATAGAGGATGTTTTGGATAAAGTGAAGCTCAAAACGAATGGAAAATTAATGGAAAACAAATGCAGATCAATAATAGTAAAAGCTTTGCGTGTTTCTAAAGGAATGAGAAATGCTCGTCCGTGCCGTATTGCTCAGTGCTGAATTGATAATCAGGTTTGGAGGACATCTGAGGTGAGGTGGTGATGTTTTTATAAGGGATATTTTAAGGTACATGATCTGCCGTACGAATACTAAAGGAACTAGAGACGTGCATACAGTCGGACTTTCACATTTCGGCACTGATTGCAATTTGATTTCTTGCTGAATATCCTGTTTTATGTGCCATTTCATGATGACTTTAAGGTGCAGTGAGCGTTGTTTTTTGATGTACTCTACCGTTCAAAAGTTTGGGGTCAGTAAGATTTAATCATGTTTTTGAAAGAAGTCTACTTTTGCTCACCAAGGCTGCATTTGTTTGATCAAAAATACAGTAAAAACAGTAATATTGTGAAATATTATTACAATATAAAATAACTGTTTTCTATTTGAATATATATATATTTTTCAATTTAGCATCATTACTCCAGTCTTCAGTCACATTATCCTTTAGAAATCATTCTAATAATGATGATTTGCTGCCCAAAAAACATTTCTGATTATTATAAATGTTGAAAACAGTTGTGCTGCTTCATATTTTTGTGGAAACTGTGATACTTTTTTTTTCCAGGATGTTTTGATGAATAGAAATGTCAGTATTATTTTAAAATAGAATCTTTTTGTTACATTATAAATGTCTTTACTGTCACCTTTGATCAATTTAATGCATCCTTGCTGAATGGAATATTTACTAATCCCATAATTGTGAAAGGTAGTGTACTTAAGCTTGATTTTGTAATGAAAAGCAATGTGTCACCTTAATAGACTGTGTTACTGAACAGAATAGTAAAATTAAATGCATTTTGCACGCAGTAGCTCTATATGCATCTCATATTCCACCTGTACTTGCACTGTCACCCTGTAGGTACTGTTACAGACCATGACAAAAGCTCTTTTTTTTTCTTCTATGCAGTGGCCCATACACAGGAATCTCACCACCAGACGGAGAAGCCTCTGATACGCTGTGCTAAATGTGGAGAGGTGTGCAAGGGAGAGGTGTTACGTGTGCAGGCCAAACACTTCCACATCAAGTGCTTCACGTGCAAAGGTGAGTGAGTGAATCAGTGTCACTTATCCATCTGTTACATACAAGACATTCAGTGCCATGAAGACCAGTTCTGAATGAGGAATAGATGTCTACTGTACATTCGAATTACGATATGTATGCAATATTCAGAGATATAATCTATTAGTCTGTGGAAAAGGAGAGGTGTGTACTGTGCTGTAGTGTATACTGTAGTTTAGCTTTTGAACTGAGAGCAAATGAAATTTGCAATAAAAAAAAAGCGGTAAATCTAAAAACACATCATCAAAAGAAAAGCATAAAAAAATGTTTTCTGCAATATGACTAAGGCCCTGCTTACACCTGGTATTAACTCTTTCCCCACCAGCATTTTTATTTTTTCAAGTTGCCAGCATTTGATCATTTTTACAAAATTTTCACGGCCCCCAGAATATTTTGTTGTATGAATATCTGAACCTGCAATATGACAGGGCATCTGCATTAAGCTATAATAAAGTTTTTTTGTTGTTGTTGTTGTTTAAAAGCAGTCTTTTTTATCAACAATTGAATGTGGGCAAGTTTCATAAAAAAAAGCAACATTTTGAGCAAATTGCTGAGAAAAACGTGTTTTTGTCAAAGCCTACGTCCAGATCAGATTTAGAACGACGATCAAAACACAGATGGAGTAGATCGAGTGAGTCCATCAACACCCCCAAAGCTTCACAGTCCTAAACCTCGTCCTGGGTCGACATTTCATTCGGTAACATTAGGCAGTTTTGATTTTATGCTGTTTATTGTTGATGATCGCATTATTTTACATAACTTGCTTTTACTTTTACGTAATCGCTTGTTTCTGCTTCTTCTTCACGTCTTTTGATCAGGAGATACTCTTTGGATGTCATAGCGCCCCCTACAGTATAACAGTGAAAACACGGAAAGCCTGAAATTTCCAAAAATGACAGGGAAGCGTTGTCTCATAAATAACGCAAATTTCCGTCAACGCCGGGGAAAGAGTGGAGATGCATTTTGGTCGACAAGTATAGTCTCCCTCGTCTCCTTGTGATCCAATCAACCAAAACGCATTAATACCTGGCGTAAATGGGGCATAATAAATTCATACATACATATGATACATACAGTATATACGCTATATGGGGGAAATCTGCTTAACTGTCATGAAAATAATGTCACTATGCAGAAAATCTCAATGGTACAAAATTTGTTTATGAGATTGACGTGTTTGACAGGTTTCGAGCTTTTGGTTGCATATTCATAATCAAATCCTCTCTGTCTGAGATGCTGCCGTTCTGGTTTGCTGAATGTTTCCTATAAATCACCTCTTGTGTGAGTCGTCTATGACTCACCTCTCCAGTCAGAATTCAGGATCACCGAGTAATTGTTAAGGGTGTTATAGATGAGTTCCAGCTTGACCTATTTAGCATGTGTTTTTCAGAATCTAAGTCTTAAGAACAAACTCTAACCTCTTGTGTGTGTAGTCTAAATAGCATTAACTCTATAGGGACAGGTGAGGTCAGCAACCACAGTTGGTCACTGTTGAAATGGCAGTAGTTAACATGAAATTTACAGCGATTTCAGTAGTGTCATGGGGTATGCCATGCTCTAATTCATAAATGTTAACCTTAAAAAATAATTATATTAAAAAAATATATAATAAATACTTTTTTATGAACTTGGTTTGCTATATTTTGTTATAGACTATGGGTATTGTGTAATATAAGCCTTTTTTCAGAGATTTGTTGCATTCAAAGTTTCTTTTGAGACCATTAGGTGATGCCCAGCGCCCCAGACTGCCTTTTTAAATTCTCTCACTGCTGAACTTACACCGACATATCCAGATTTACCATGCCACTTCAGGGCCATTGTTTAAAAAGCCCACCAAATCTATCAGCTTTTAGCAAAACACTCAAGATAATGTGGACTATTTTGTCAGTTGCACTTGATGCAGGGCTGGATATAATAGAGTCCTACAGTACGAAGTAAATCCTGTCATGACTGAGCTCAGCTGTGATCCAATTAACCCAGAGACTTTCTCTCTGTCCTGCTGTACCACTTCAGTTAGAGAAATCAGCATTATGATGATGTCAGATCTGCTGTGTGAATCTAAGTGACAGTGACATGTATGTAGCACATGACAATTTTGGGGATTCATTCATGGAAGTAGCCTTGTCCCACACTTCCAGTCAAAGATTTGGACATACTTAGTCTTTATAATTACTATTTTTCACAGTTCAGAAAAATAGTCATTAAATCTATGAAATAACACAAATGGAAGTTTGGGAATTATGTAGTGACCAAAACGTGATATAAATGTTGGGTATCACTAGTTAAGGGCCCAATTCTCACTATTAACTAGTTATTAACATGCATATTACTAGGATATTGGCGGTTTATTAGTACTTATAAAGCACATATTAATGCCTTATTCTACATCCCTTAATCCTACCCAATGCCTAAATTTAACAACTACCTTACTAACTATTAATAAGCAGTAATTATGAGTTTATTGAGGCAAAGGTCATAGTTAATAGTGAGAATTGGACCCTAATCTAAAGTGTGATCAAATGTTGTATGCTGGACAGGTGTTGGCAGCTGTTTTTTACTGTTCTAACTCATAGATTCATTTTAATGAATAAATAAATTCTACAAAACTAGACCAACAGCTCTGACTTCAACTTGTACTACTTGCCCAGTGCAGATTCATTTTGGCATTGATAGTGTTTCCATAGAAAAGTATAATTCCGAGCCCAAGGACATGAACAGCAGAACGTCACAGGTTGTCATCTCGTATCACAGTAATTGCGACATGGTGCAAACGCAGCATTAATCATACCAACATAATGGAACAATGAAATGAAAGATTATTTTTAATTTATTAAATGCTTTATTTCTGTTACCATGAAGCAGTTGGCAATGTTGGTTGGGGAATACTTTTAAAAAATATTACAATTATCAACATTAACATTATTAAATACTAATTGTTTCACTTAAAAAGTAGCATTACTTGTATGTTACTTTTGCATAATTTTTTGTGTGTGTATTGTTTTCAGTTGAGCACAGATTCCCTCATCATCAACTGAAACATCTCAAATATGTTTTTAATATTTAATATCTGAGTTCATGTCATTCTCTCTGACCTCACTGACTTCTTAATACATCACAGACAGAGACTCTATGAGAAATAGTCTTTTAGACTAGTGGTTTTACAGATTAGGATTTTGAAATATGAAAGGTGATAATGAATATGAGAGATTAAACTCTTTTCGGACGACTTTGGATCGAACCTCACAGATATTTGAATTGAATTTGCACATGACCTGTAGTGATCTGGGCAGATAATCAGTTTAAGAGCTAATCATCTACTTTGTGTTAACCAACCTGCAGGGATTATGTCATTCTTACTGTAAATCTGTGTAATAATAATCAGTTTATCTAATGTAATCAGTCCAGAGCAGCGTACAGACAAGATCATTCTATTCTTCATTTATAGGCAACATTAAGAAAGTGGTTTTTGAAAAATAAAATGTACATTTTAGGACATTTTTAACTTGTGAAATGAAAATAAATAAAATCACAGAAAGTTAAGTTCATGCATTAAAAGTTTTGGAGTTTTCCAATTGCATATCTATTTTTGGGTTTTATATTTAGCTATTTTCTAGATAATCGTTCTTATAGGCCTACTTCTTAAAGGCATGTAAACATGTAATTTTAATGCTAAAAAATGAGAGCTGAGCTCATCACATTGAATGAGAGTTAATGAATTCTTTTGTGTCTGGGTCGTCCAGAGATGAAAGTCAGATTGTAGGAAATGTGTCAAAGGACGTTGTTGCCAAGTCCATTATTTATTCATTTATTCATCAGATCAAATGATTCAGTGCTGATTTCAACATTTCAAAGGAGACGCGGTCATATTGTTTATTCCCCATAGATTCATATCGGTTGTGTTGTTGAGCTGCAGGTTAATTTAAGGATATTGGGATGAATTTTTTATTTTATTTTAATAAATGTGTACTTTTTTGCACCGTTGCACCTAACTTTTTTTACAGTAAAAAGTATTTTTTATGAATATTTTCAGTATTAATAGAATACACGCAATTTGCATTTTTATAATGAAAATTTCTCTCGCTTTATCCATGAGACTAGGGTGGCGTTGTCCTCATACGGCCCCTGCAGAAGTTTCTCAGTGCATAAACTCATTTTATCGGAGCGGATCGTGAAGAAGGATAACAGCACTGTGGAGCCTTACTGTGCACATTGTACACATCTATTATACTTCCACTCATTTATTCTCTCAGTAAATCGCACATCCTGCATTAGTCACGGCCTCGGTTCACCCCGCGGGAACCCAGGATGAGGTGCGGAAAGCCATGAAAGATGGTTTGGACAATAAGACTCCAAAACAGAAAGTGTCTGAAGGAGCTCTTAAGAGCTTAAAATGAAACACAATGAGCTCTAAATGTGTTTCAGAGAGCCTGTTGGTTTAGATTAGACATTTCAAGGTTTCTGACTATTGTGTTTTCTCAAGATCATGGTTTGGCCATTGTCCTCCACTAAGGTTTATTTTTACACTTTTATTTGTTACAAGTTATCATGTAACAAGAGAAATGTATCACAATGAATACATTATAACCCATGAAAAATATCAAGGTTCATCCTAAAAATTACACTCACCAACTATTGTTCCAAAAAAAAAATAAAAAAATGTGTATATATATATATCCTGTGATGACATGAATTTTCAGCATCATTACTCCAGTCTTCAGTGCCACATGATCCTTCGGAAATCATTCTAATTGCTGATTTGCTGATCAAGAAAAAAATATTTTTAGTGTTGAAAACAGTTATATTTTCTTATGCTACATTTTTTTCAATATTCTTTAATAAATAGAAAGTTCGATAGAACAGCATTTATTTGAAATAGAATATACACACACACACACACACACACACACTGCCATTCCATCTCGGCCCTGTGCATGCATGTATATTACACACCATAATAATTTGATTATTAAAACCATAATTAAAACGGTTGTGTGTGTGTTTCTGTAGTATGTGGCTGCGATCTGGCTCAGGGAGGATTCTTCATGAAGAATGGAGAGTATATGTGCACTCTGGACTACCAGCGCATCCACGGCACCCGCTGTAACATCTGTGGAGAGTTTGTGGAGGGGGAGGTGGTGACCGCGCTCGGAAAGACCTACCACCCAGCATGCTTTGTGTGCACAATCTGCAAGTAAGAGCCGAAGAAAAACCCACTCACACACTAGACATTATACAGTCACTGACATTGTGGTTTATGGTAAGCACAACACTGGCAGGAGTTTTAACAGGGATCGTATATTTCATGACCTACAGGAGACCATTTCCTGCTGGAGACAGAGTGACATTCAATGGGAAGGACTGTCTGTGTCAGTACTGTGCAGAGCCCATGTCTCCAGTGCACACCAAAGACGTCGCCGGACCCAGCAGTGAGTGCAGGACCTGAAGCTACAGCAACCACATGAGTTAATGTCACAAAACCAGCCAAGAACATAACAGGCACATTTGAAGTCAAATTATTTAGGCAGCGGCTATTTACACTGTGCAAATAGCAATAGATGTTATTTATGGTGTATTCACACCAGGAAAGTCCGATAGTTCACTTGTTTTGGTCCGGACCAAATAAATTTTTTTTTTTTTTTTTTTTTTACGGTTCGCTTTCACACTGCTCTTTTTGCAAGTGAACCAAAATTTGTAAACAAAACCACACGTGTGCTAAGGTCGTCCATTCATTGGACAAGGATTCTCAAGTAGGGAAATCAGGAAGTGCAAAAAAGGTTCAGCATGGAGATATTTCGTACTGCAATATTTGTTATTTTACTAATTTTGTGTTATTCTGTACAAACGCAATATGAAGAAACTGCGCAGAAGACGGATAAGGTATAAAGTTTTCATTCATAGAGAGGGGCTATGTTCACACATTCAAATAATGAGATTCTTATTGTATATACTGCTATCAAGTGCTGTCAATGTTAACGCTTGCGATTAAGTTTGTCCAGTTTAACGCAGCATCATCCTTGTATATCGTTACATTATATGAACTGCAAAAGCTTTTTTTGCATCTATGCGCGATTAGACTAAAGAGAACGCTCTGTATGTGAAGTCCTGATGCACACACTCATTCATTCCACTCCAATGACGCACACACGCTGCGCAACAGAATCGCGTGGCCAGACAGCGCGCCGGAATGGAATTCTCTTTCGCACTTGAACAACAATAACACAAACCATTATGCCAAAATCTCCGACTACGGAAGCCTGTTAACTCAAAGGCGCAGTGCTTTCTTGCAATTGGGTCGGTTCATGTTCACACCGTAAACGAACCGTACCAGAGTTCGTTTGGAACCGTACCGAGACCACCTCTTCAGCTGGGTCTCGGTTCGGTTGTTTGGTCCGCACCCGAGTTCGATTGCTGTATTCTGCCCAAAAGGTCCGCACCAAGGGGGGAAACGAACTAGAGTTCGATTCAATCGAACCAAACAAGGCAGGTGAAAGTAAGGGTGCTTTCACACCTGGATCGATTTGTTTTGTTCCGGAACAGATCCGAAACAAAATACTTTGTTCCGAATCAATTTAATACGTCACTCTGTTCACACCACACTGTTGTAAAGCGGTCCAAATCGCGCACCCTTCCAGGGCGTTAGACACTTTATTTTTATTTATTTTATTACGCGCCTTTTATTACGCGCCATTACACTATTGCTGCTGTTGACAATCAAACGTCTTCCATTATTTTGTCTGGTTCAATCAGACGTCACTAGGCGGAGTTAGTGGAAATAGCCTAGTGACGGGGGGAATTATATATTATTGGTATTATTTGTCATGTTAACTTGAATTTTTGCTTTTTTTTTTATTAATTTATTCCAACATTCTGCTACAATTAAGCAAAAATTCATAAAATCTGTAAAAATCACCATAGAGAATAATGGGGAAAATCTAAATTCTTATTATGGAACTTGCGTAAACTTTATAAAGCAGCTTATTTAATCACAACTTCCTTAATGGTCCAACATTTAAACTTAAGAAAGAAATAAAAATACCATCAGTGTAAATTAACTATAGTAAGAGTACAAACTGCCACACAGAGACATTGCATCCACACACCAGTAGCCTAGAACTTTAATGGGAACGAAAGTGATTGTAAAACCCCTTAGAGATGCACTGGCATGAATTTACACGTGAAACAGTAAATTATTCAGACCCTCCATCTATCCTTGTTCCCTGATTCTGAGTGTTTGGGGGCTTTTTGGCCAGGATCCACCTACTATGATAAATAATTAACTATTATTTTCTCTTAAGTCTATAAGCTTGGCTATTAAAGCCAAATATCTTCTTTTATTTATAAAGTAAAAAGTATAATGTAAAGAAGAAATCAATAGCAGACATATAAATGTGTTTAAAAAATGCTGATTCACAACATGTTGATCAAGACAGTGGGATAAGTTAAAGTATAAAAATATTTTGGCACAAAAATAATTGCCCACGCTAGTAAAAAATTTGGTATATATATTTGGATCAAGTTTGATCCAAAGATCAAGGCTTTGAGAAGCATACAACCACATCCAGTGTTTTTTTTGGGGGCAAATCAGTTTTTCTTGTGTTTGTGTTTCAGGTTGTGCAGGCTGTGGCAGAGATATTAAGAATGGTCAGGCTCTGTTGGCTCTCGAGAATCAGTGGCATTTGGGCTGTTTTAAATGTAAGGCCTGTGCTAAAGTATTGACTGGAGAATACATCAGCAAGTAAGACACATTCATACACAAAATCCATCCAATCCATCCAAAATGTTGGGTGACTGCATGCATCGGTTGGTTCTTTATATGTGCACAGAGATGGCGCCCCCTACTGTGAGCAAGATTATCAGGTTCAGTTTGGAGTTCAATGTGAGGCGTGTCAGCAGTTCATCACAGGGAAAGTCCTGGAGGTACGACAACACACACACACACACACACACACACACACGTTGGGTTTCCATGTTTATGTTCCATGTTCCACACCTACCCCTAAACCTACCCATCGCAGAAAACTTTCTGCATTTTTATATTTTCAAAAAACATCATTACTTATGATTCATAAGTTGTTTTCCTCTTGGAGACCAAAAAATGTCCCCACAAGATCAAATATTTCTGGCATTACTATCCTTACTATCCTTATACACTCACCTAAAGGATTATTAGGAACACCTGTTCAATTTCTCATTAATGCAATTATCTATTCAACCAATCACATGGCAGTTGCTTCAATGCATTTAGGGGTGTGGTCCTGGTCAAGACAATCTCCTGAACTCCAAACTGAATGTCAGAATGGGAAAGAAAGGTGATTTAAGCAATTTTGAGCGTGGCATGGTTGTTGGTGCCAGACGGGCCGGTCTGAGTATTTCACAATCTGCTCAGTTACTGGGATTTTCACACACAACCATTTCTAGGGTTTACAAAGAATGGTGTGAAAATGGAAAAACATCCAGTATGCGGCAGTCCTGTGGGCGAAAATGCCTTGTTGATGCTAGAGGTCAGAGGAGAATGGGCCGACTGATTCAAGCTGATAGAAGAGCAACTTTGACTGAAATAACCACTCGTTACAACTGAGGTATGCAGCAAAGCATTTGTGAAGCCACAACACGCACAACCTTGAGGCGGATGGGCTACAACAGCAGAAGACCCCACCGGGTACCACTCATCTCCACTACAAATAGGAAAAAGAGGCTACAATTTGCAAGAGCTCACCAAAATTGGACAGTTGAAGACTGGAAAAATGTTGCCTGGTCTAATGAGTCTCAATTTCTGTTGAGACATTCAGATGGTAGAGTCAGAATTTGGCGTAAACAGAATGAGAACATGGATCCATCATGCCTTGTTACCACTGTGCAGGCTGGTGGTGGTGTTGTAATGGTGTGGGGGATGTTTTCTTGGCACACTTTAGGCCCCTTAGTGCCAATTGGGCATCGTTTAAATGCCACGGCCTACCTGAGCATTGTTTCTGACCATGTCCATCCCTTTATGGCCACCATGTACCCATCCTCTGATGGCTACTTTCAGCAGGATAATGCACCATGTCACAAAGCTCGAATCATTTCAAATTGGTTTCTTGAACATGACAATGAGTTCACTGTACTAAAATGGCCCCCGCAGTCACCAGATCTCAGCCCAATAGAGCATCTTTGGGATTTGGTGGAACGGGAGCTTCGTGCCCTGGATGTGCATCCCACAAATCTCCATCAACTGCAAGATGCTATCCTATCAATATGGGCCAACATTTCTAAAGAATGCTTTCAGCACCTTGTTGAATCAATGCCACGTAGAATTAAGGCAGTTCTGAAGGCGAAAGGGGGTCAAACACAGTATTAGTATGGTGTTCCTAATAATCCTTTAGGTGAGTGTAGTATCCATGTCCTCACAACATGGGGTTACCTGAACGATACACACACACACACACACACACACACACACACACACAATCAGTTTTGAAGTTCTGGACTGGTAACAAACTGACTCTTTGAAATAATTTGAACAATGTTGTTATTGTTAACAAAAAATGTTGAATGAAAATGCTGAAATAAAACTTAGAAATGTTACCTTGAAGTACTAAAGTTAAAGTACTAAAATTACTAAAACTATCTGGTGTAAAAATAATTAAAGCTATATATAATTATGTAAAATCAATAAAAACTAATAAAAATGACAAAAGCACATAGCAAAATTGCTAAAACTTAAACTAAAATTCAAATGAAAACTGAAAATATAAAAGCTGATTCAAAATATTAAATATATACTATAATAGTATATAAATAACACTTGAACACTGGCTTTGAGGTGATTTATAACAAAATTCACATATATTCACATATTAAAACTATTCTATTCCAAGAAAATACATACACCAAAAATATTAATGCCACATCTTCTTTGTAGAGACGTATACAATTTTTCTTCAATAAAATGTCCTGTTGGTTATAATCACCTACGACCGATTTAATACTTCAACAGTAAAATCTTAAGTAAATAACGCCCCTCAGAATATGTCCAACTTCCTGTTTGAACAGGAAAGATGTCAACACAGGAAAGAATATTGCGTTCATCAAACAGGCAAACCAACACAGTACTAGAATCGTTTTGTTTGTTGTATTCAGTTGTTTCATACAGTCATCAGCCAATAATTCCCTGCATGAAACCTTATCAGTGCTGCAAGTATTTAATGTAGTCTGGGTCATATTTTCTTTTAAATATTTTTCAGAGCAGACCTGTGACCCATTTTGGTGTCCTAACCCACCATTTGAGAATCCCTCTTTTAGCTCATATGCAACATGAACAGTATATTTATCACTTGACAGCACACATTTGTATGTCCCACAACAAAAGATGGTTACACTTTATTTTGATGTTCGCCTTTAGAATAGCTGTTATAGTTGACTAGAAGTAACGTTGCACCTTGCATGACAAATAACTCTCAATAGAGAATTGTTTGATTATTATTAGTTTATAGGGGTTGGATTAGTGTTAATAGAATAAGTTGACACGTACTTGCAAAGTTACTTATAGTCAGTGGAGTGTCTGTTGGGGAGCATCAGAATAAAGAGTTAGCAGATATTCAGCAGACAGTCTACTGATACTCTACTAATACTCTAATGAGATTGTGTGTTCACACTTGGAAGGTTTGCTGGTGCAATTGCTTTGTTAGTACGGTTCATTTGAATAAGTGTGAACGCTGAACCTTGGTGCGTGCCAAACAAACGGACCGAGGCGCTGGATTTCCTAGCGCTGTTTTGACTCCTTTACACATTTTAGAAGCTCTTTATGAGTTCTCAGCTGGTCAAAATACCATCATATGTAGGCTACGCATTTAGCCTTGAATGCTTTTAGGTTCTGTGTTAAAATGCCAATCTGAACGCTAAGCGGACCAGGACTAAATGTTTTTTATTGGGGGTTTTTTGGGTCCGAACCAAGCGAACCGAACTACAAGTGTGAACACACCCTTATATTCAACAGAATATCTAAAGATGTCCATCAAATGAAAGTGTTACCCAAAGACACTGATTGTGACACAGACCTGCAGCACAAAAGCATGTTACACACATCCGATCTCTCACAGATAACCGTCTGCGTCTACAGTTTCACAACAGGCTCAGAGCAGACAATTGCAACAGGACGTTTCATCCGGCTAATTGAATCTGATTGGCTGTTAGAGAGACACTTGCCTTTTCTTTTCACACGTTAAAGCTTTTCCTGTATGTTATAATGGGATGTGTTTGTGCATCGCCGCTCTGGAGTATAACACACTCTATATGAACGACTTTGAGTAGTTTGAGATCACAAAATACTACACAGGGCCTGTAAGTCTCTCTTAAGACTGATTTTTGTGTATGAATATAGTTCAAAGGTTTTAAAGATGATGTCTGCGCTGTAAAGAGAGAACACAGAACCTTTCTGTATTATATTTGATAAGCTCATTGGTTCTGGTCATTTGAATAAAATATGTGTCGTCTCACATGATACACATGCAAAGCATCAGTTTCTCTGTAACAGTCTGTTTGAGTTATCTGACTTCATGGTTGTTAGTACAGTTCAACTTTAAGCGAATCGATATAGTGATGTGTGTGTCTCTCCACAGGCAGGGGACAAGCACTACCACCCCAGCTGTGCTCGCTGTAGCAGGTGTAACCAGATGTTTACAGAAGGAGAGGAGATGTACCTGCAAGGTGAGTCTGAGCCTACAGACGGCACATATAATATGTATTTTTTCTGCAGGAGGAACCTTTGTCAATTTAGTAAAAGTGTGTGTTAAAACCCTGTTTCTTTTTTATGATTTGACTTGTCTGGTTCAACTACACTGTTTTTGTATTTTTTCCCCCCAGTACAAATATCTAAATATTTTTGAGAAGCAACATTACTTAGATATTAAAGGTGAACTAAGTAACTTTTTTACCTTAACCGAACAGCTTTGGAGTCATTGTAATGTTTATATTACTGATTTCGTGTTGAATGGTGGTCGTCTCGCACCCCCCTGGTGCCTGTGAGCCGCAAAACCACCCTTGCAACTTTGGGCCGGCGGGCCGCCGGCCTCTGTGTTAGGAAGTATCGTGTGATATCAGGTCTCGCGAGGTAACGAATTGCTTTACGGCAAAAAACAGATCTGATAACATTCTGATAAAATGAGCATCAAACAGAAATAACCCGGCGCCGTATACATGTGGTGTTCGAGGCGCACATACAATACAGACTGCCGACAGTTAAACAGGGCGCGCGCGCAGCTCTTAAAGGGGCCATACCTTATTTCCACTCATTACAGCGTCCATCCTACTGAACAGGTACCGGTGTACAGGGGGAGGGGATCCGGCCATGAGTGCGTGCCATCTCTGCGTGAGTGCTATTCTCCACAGCAACTCTAGGGGTCGCTGTTTGACAAAAACGGAATTCCTACTTAGTGCTGCTTTAAGTATGTTAGATGCTTCAAAATTAAGCGAGTTCATACCTAAAACAAAAAATATCTGCCAGTGGGGTAAGAGAAAATACAGCTTAATTATTTTTCTCAATCCACTGCCAGATATTTTTTCTTGTTTTCAGCAAAACACTTAATTTTAATTAATTTCTCAGAAAATAAGATTTAAGGGGTTAGATCACCCAAAAATGAAAATTCTGTCATTAATTACTCGCCCTCATGTCGTTCCAAACCCGTAAGACTTTTGTTCATCTTTGTAACACAAATGAAGATATTTTTGATGAAATCTGAGTTTTCTGTCCGTCCATTGACAGCTACTACGCAACTGCCACTTTGACACTTCAAAATGTTCATAAAGAGATCGTAAAACGAATCCATATTGAGCGGTTTAGTCCAAATTTTCTGAAGAGACAAGATCGCTTTATATGATGAACATATTTAATTTAGACTTTTATTCACATTATTCATCGGTTCACACATCATGTTCGCTTGACGTGCGAAAACCAATGAGGTTCATTCTCGTGTTACGCAGCACGTTTGAGCTTCAGCAAGAACCAATGAGGTTCATTCTCGTGTTACGCAGCACGTTTGAGCTTCAGCAAGAACCAATGAGGTTCATTCTCGTGTTACGCAGCACGTTTGAGCTTCTGCTAGAACCAATGAGGTTCATTCTTGTGTTACGCAGCACGTTTGAGCTTCTGCTAGAACCAATGAGGTTCATTCTCGTGTTACGCAGCACGTTTGAGCTTCAGCTAGAACCAATGAGGTTCATTCTCGTGTTACGCAGCACGTTTGTGCTTCAGCAAGAACCAATGAGGTTCATTCTCGTGTTACGCAGCACGTTTGAGCTTCTGCTAGAACCAATGAGGTTCATTCTCGTGTTACGCAGCACGTTTGAGCTTCTGCTAGAACCAATGAGGTTCATTCTCGTGTTACGCAGCACGTTTGTGCTTCAGCAAGAACCAATGAGGTTCATTCTCGTGTTACGCAGCACGTTTGAGCTTCTGCTAGAACCAATGAGGTTCATTCTCGTGTTACGCAGCACGTTTGAGCTTCTGCTAGAACCAATGAGGTTCATTCTTGTGTTACGCAGCACGTTTGTGCTTCAGCAAGAACCAATGAGGTTCATTCTCGTGTTACGCAGCACGTTTGAGCTTCTGCTAGAACCAATGAGGTTCATTCTCGTGTTACGCAGCACGTTTGAGCTTCTGCTAGAACCAATGAGGTTCATTCTCGTGTTACGCAGCACGTTTGAGCTTCTGCTAGAACCAATGAGGTTCATTCTCGTGTTACGCAGCACGTTTGTGCTTCAGCAAGAACCAATGAGGTTCATTCTCGTGTTACGCAGCACGTTTGAGCTTCTGCTAGAACCAATGAGGTTCATTCTTGTGTTACGCAGCACGTTTGAGCTTCAGCTAGAACCAATGAGGTTCATTCTCGTGTTACGCAGCACGTTTGAGCTTCAGCAAGAACCAATGAGGTTCATTCTTGTGTTACGCAGCACGTTTGAGCTTCAGCAAGAACCAATGAGGTTTGTTCTCACGCGTCAACCAGGTTCGGTTTCGCTTCCGTTTATGTCCGCTGATTAATGTTTATATGTCAATAAAAGCTTTAATTAAATCTGTTTAGCATATAAAGCGATCAAGTGTCTTCAGAATTTTTTGACTAAGCTGCTCAATTCATATGGATAAGTTTTACAATCTCTTTATGAACTTTTTGAAGCATCAATGTGATAGGTTACTTAATTGCTGGACTATGTTTAACCAAATGTATTTATTTTAATTATACTTAAAATAATATAATGCCAGATAAATTAAAATAGTATGTTGTTTTGGTGTACAATGGTGTTTTGTTTTCATTGTAGCTGAGCACATTGATTTTGAAGGGTAAATCGGACTTGGATGCCTCTTGGGACTAAATAGTTATTTTTGGTTTGATGTTATCTGTATTTTTTATTTATATTGTATTGTCTTATGTATAGTATCTGGAGAATGGTGGCAGATAATGATACACTACAAAATGCAATGCCATTTAAAAGTTTGGGGTTGATTTTTGATCTCCAAGGCTTCATTTAATTGGTCAAAAATACAATAAAAACAGTAATATTGTTAAATATTATTACAATTCAAAATGACAGTTTTCTGTTTGAATATATTTTAAAATATAATTTATTCATGCGATGAATTTTCAGCATCCTTACTTCTGTCTTCCGTGTCACATGATCCTTCAGAAATCATTCTAAAATGCAAATTTGCTGCTCAAGAAACATTTATTATTATTATTAATATCAATGTTGAAAACAGTTGTGCAGCTTAATATTTTTGTTTCTTTTATTCTTTGATGAATAGAAAGTTAAAAAGATATGCATTTATTTGAAATTGAAGTATTTTGTGACATTTTAAGTGTCTTTGTCACATTTGATACATTTAATAAAAGTATTTACTTATTTAAAAAAAAATATATACACTTCCGTTCAAAAGTTTGGGGTCAGTGAGAATTTTATTTTTATTTTTTGGAGGAAAGAAATCAATACTTTTATTTATCAAGGACAGTAAAGACATTTATAATGTTACAAAAGATTCTATTTCAAACAAATGCTGTTCTTTTGAACTTCCTATTCATCAAAGAATCCTAAAAAAAATAAACAAAACTGTACAACTGACAGACCAACAACTGTTTCAACATTGATAATAATAATAAATGTTTCTTGAGCATCAAATCCTCATATTATACTGATTTGTGAAGGATCATTTGACACTGAAGACACTGACACTGGTGATGCTGAAAATTCAGCTTTGATCACAGGAATAAATTACACTTTACTATAGTATATTCACACAGAAAACAGCTGATTTACACTGGAATAATATTTAATACTATAACTCATTTTTGTTGTATTTTTAATCAAATAAGCGCAGCCATGGTTAGCAGAAGAGAATTCTTTTAAAAGTATTTAAAATCGTACCGACCCCAAACTTTTGAACGGTAGTGTATATGTATATATATATATATATATATATATATATATATATATATATATATTAGTGCTGGGCAAGTTAACGCGTTATTATCGCGTTAACGCATTTATTAATTAATGCCGACAATTTTTTTATCGCGCGTTAACGCAGTTTTTTTTATTATTATTATTTTGAAAGTCCGTTGCTCACTGGCTCTGAATACACATAGGCCTACAGCCAAACCATGATCACAGGAGGGGTGGGATGTTGGTCAGCCAGCAAATAACCCACCCAAACAAGCAGTGGAGGGGCTTTGGCAGGTTCTCTCAGGTGAACAGAAAGGGAGACAGCGCTCCGCGAGTGAATGACAGGCGCTCCATGGTAACCATGCAACGGCTTCTGTGCGCTACGCAGCTGTAGCCTTTTTAACTTAAATTAAAATTATACATAACTTTACCTGATAGGCCTGCGTTTAGTTCAGCGGGGATGCTCTGCCATGTGAATTCCCTCCTGTTGATGTCCTGATAACTATTTAGATTCTGGAAACTCACAAACAGCGAGCCAAGGATCAGTCTCTCTTCCAATGATTTGTGCTGCGCGTCGTGTACAAAATTCAACTTCGGCAACGCGCGGGCGCGTGCGTGAGGCGAGCATGACCGCAACAGTTTCACAGGAACGCACCCGCTTGTTGCTGCACCTGTGCTCGACCACTTCACCTCACTCTAGGCTGATTTATAATTCTGCGTCGGACCTAAAGGCCAATTTATACTTCTGCGTCGGGTGCGCGCAGTACGTACGGCGTAGCATACGCACAGACGCGTACCATACGCCGTACCCTTCGCCGTAACCTGACGCGCACCTCCTCAAAAATGTAACTACACGTCGCGACGACGCGGACCGCAAGATCTGTGATTGGTCGGCTTGGTAGCATCGCGTTTCCTCCTATGCATTTCCGGCGTGTTCTTCTGCACCGCCCGCCATTTTTAAATTCTAAGTACAGCGAAACTGTTAAAAAAACTAAAAATTTACCTTTTCCACCCCGATAAGCTCCAACTCCAACATGATCTGCTCTCTTTCAGTCGGCATTGCTTGTAGTAACCTAAACTCAAAACAGCCGCGAGGAATCTTCTTCTTCTTGCCGCGAGGAATCTAAACACAGTGGAACATTAAAACCCTCCGCCGCCAACTAGCGTTTCGGCGCTGTACTGCAGAGCAACGCAGACCTAAACGCAGAAGTATAAATGCTCATGACGGCGTTGCCTACGTGCGTAGCCTACGCCGTACACTACGGCGTACACTCGACGCAGAAGTATAAATTGGCCTTAAGCCGGAGCCTCTACGCTATAGACTACGCGTTGGTTTTCATTTATATATCTGCGTCCAGCGTCGTTGTCCGCGTTGACGCGCAATTACACATGCAGAGGGAGAGTGTGAAACCCGGGGAGCGGTTCTAGCAATCACAGCGCTTGCAGTACGCGAAGAATTGACGTTACATTTTTTGAGAGATGCACGTCAGGGTACGCGCGCTACACAGCTACGGCGTGAGTTCGACGCAGAAGTATAAATTGGGCTTTACCTCTGTTTAATGTAATCTTACGTGGGAAACCATGGCATGCCATGACCAAACCTAAGCTTCTATCAGAGAAGTAACGTTGGTCGACTTATATCTGTAGTAGTGATCATGACCCTTTAACTAGACTGTTTCTGCTGCTCCCTGATACAAGATACCTGTTCAGAAAAAAAAAGAAAACTGGACTCTTTTTAACAAGCTAGATAAAAGGTAATGCCCTGGCAGTGGCAAATAGTTTTGTTTAAATATTTGATTTGATTACGTTAATGTTTAAGTTGAGATTTACAAGAAATATTGTATTGATACTGTGTAAAGGCAATACTGCTGGTATAAAAGCACCTTATTTGTTTAAAGTTTTTGCAAACCACATGTTATTGCACTTTTGTAGCAGTACATTAAATCAAAAGTGCGCAATACACTACTTTAGAATTCATTATTCAATATTGCGCGTAACAACGCGATTAATCGCGATTAAGCGCAAGAAAATCATGCGATTAATCGCGATTAAATTTTTTAATCGTTGCCCAGCACTAATATATATATATGTCCACCATGCTCTATAAATTGAGATTATCATCGTTCATAAAAAAATTGAGTAGTTGGCCAATAGTAAAGGTCACCTCACCTCAAAATCATGACCATATTCATTTCATTTTAATTCTTCTTTATAAGCGTTGTCAAAAATGTATCCAAATCACATGACTCCACTCTAAATGTGGCCTCTTAGCCTGGTAGTCTTTGGATTATTTTGCCTTCTGTTTCATTGTTTATGCAGGATCAACAGTTTGGCATCCAGGCTGTAAGCATTCAACTAGAGGCGAGGAGAGACAGCGGGTACGGCCCTTTTTCCATCTCACTTTTGTATCCGGTATTTACATGTTCGTCCTGTATAGTTGTTGTCTGTGTGTTCTTCTCTGCTGACTCTTTTCTGAAAGTAAGCAGATCTCATTGCTAGCTTTGAGGTTGTACTTTCTCCTTCTGGCTGTTTTCTAGTAGACTTGTCGCTCAAACAATCGTTCCGGGAACACCGCTATAGGCTAGGTGATTCAGAATCTTGTATGATGTCCAACCAAACCCCTGTGTCTTCCTCCACAGCTATTGCCTGCATCTCTAGCTCTACTCAGCAAAACAGAAAGGCAGGTACTGTACTCTCTGTCAGCTGCGGCATGGCATCGCATGACCATGTGCTGCCCCCTGGAGGTGGAGGGTTGCAGTGCTCCTCACTGGCAGTACACTCCAGCGCTCAAGCCGCCCGCTCTGTTTTAGACATAAACCATCATTAACATCTGGTTTATTCCATCTCATAGACGCTGATGCCACAGAACAGATAGTAATCAACATCCCAGTTACTCTGTTTAGTCGATTAGTAAGTTAAAAGTTGGATATTGGTGTAACCTTAAGGAAACCCTGACTCACATTCCTTCGGTCTTGTTATTGTGCTCCAGTATTACCAAATAGGCCTTAGATCAAGTCAAGCAGCTGTAATCACGCATGCTGCATTTCAGTATGCTGAGAAATATCAGATGCCCTTACATTTTCCGCCATTGGAAACATGAAATCGCCATTGACATTCATTGTGTGGAAGGCAAATGAATGATTTCATTTGTTTTAGGTTTGTTTTAAAGGTTCTGTCATCATTTAGTTCTGGCCTTCATGATATATGGGTCAAAACACACTGGTCTCGACTTGTTGATTAAAAGTATTTAACTTTTAATAATATTGTTGTGCTTTTGTTAAATTTTGCTATTTAGGTTTATTAGATATTGATTTCAGTTTTAGTTTTAGTTGGTTTTAGTTTTGATTTATTTCCAGTTAATAGTTTTAGTGCTATATTAATCATTTGTTTTCAACTAGTATTTGTATTTTATTTTATTTCAGCTTTATTTCAATTAACATATATACTGTATTATATATTAAAGATTTAGTTTTAGTTTTAGTTAAGGGTTTTCTTAGAACATTTGAAAAATTTGGATAAATGCATTTATAATATATTTATATTGCACTAATTTTCAGATTTGTTGTGGATGCCTTGTTGGTTTTGTCTCACAATAAGTGAGTTATAGCATTGATCAGCTGACTGACTTTCTGCACCCTGATTGGCCTTATATATTTTACTGTACACTATAAAAATGTATATTATAGTGTATCTCTTTACAACCATGTGCAACAGTCACAAAATGTGTAATGTAAGTAAGTCAAGGAATACATTAGGCCAAGATTATGTGCAATAAAGCAAATATAGGTAAATCTTCTGCTAAAGGGAAAGTTTATTGAGTAATCATGGATCATACTACCGGTAATCATTATGAACTGATGGTTAGCTGTTTAGATGGAAATTAATACTTTTTTAAAAATAATTTTCTCTTTAAAGCTTATGTTGAATATAGATTTGTTTTTTTGGTTTGCTCCACAGCCGATGCGCTCGTCGACCGAGAGCATATGTTCCAGACCTGGTTCAAGCATACCTAGCTCACCGGGTCACACCATATATGTAAGTGCATTAGTTCATCATTGTGTGAGTTGATATATGTGCATATATCATATATACATACCATGGCTTATTTTTTATATAAAGCTATTTATGTTGACCCCACATTTTTTCTAAAAGTAATTATTTTACATCAAAAGCTCAAAAGTGACCGTAAAATCGTGTTACAAAAGAGTTCTATTTCAAATAAATGTTCTTTCAAAATTAAAAAAAAAATTCTTTTGAATTTTCTATTTATCAAAGAATCCTGAGGACAAAATGCACAACAATATGAAGCAGCACAACACTGATAATAATTAGAAATGTTTCTTGAGCAGCAAATCAGCATATTAGAATGATTTCTGAAGGATCATGTGACACTGAAGACTGGAGTAATGATGCTGACAATTCAGCTTTGCATCACAGGAATAAATTATATATAAAATATATATATTGTAAAAATGTTTCACTGTATTTTTGAACAAATAAATGCAGCCAGGGTGAGCATAAGAGACTTCTTTCAAAATCATTCAAAGAAATGACCGACCTCAAACTTTTGAACAGTAGAGTAAGTACTTTTATGCTGATTACTCAACAAATATCTATAATTATTGTGCATTTTATTGGACTTTACAATGTTATAAATTGGCTTATTTGAGTTGTCATGTTGTTTTCTGGATGTTAAAATAGATAGAAGTCCTGATAGATAGCTTTCTTTTCTGTCATTGTGAATTCTGACAGCAGTGTTGAAATATTATACATATTTTTTTATTATTTAAATTCTCATAATTTCGCCCTTTGATTGGCCTGTCTGTAGAACTTAATATTTTCACCGCTGTCATGTAGAAATTCATATATGTGTGTGACTCCCTGTGTGTCCTTGTGTTTCCCTCTAGGCAAAAGTAGACAATGAGATCCTTGATTACAGGGATTTAGCAGCCATTCCCAAAGTCAAAGCCATTTATGACATTGAGCGTCCAGATTTAATCCACTATGAGCCACTTTACACCACCACACTGGAGGAGTCAGAGGAGGGAGAGAGTGTGGGAGAGGTAAAAATAAGTCAAAAAGAAGCTCTGTTCCAAACCATAGAGACATTTCTGTCTAGACAGCATCATAGGTGACATGCTCCTGATGAGAAGACTGGTTCAAAAGGCAAACTGCAAAATTATAGGCAAATTACAGCAGCATTGCATATATACAGTATATATATATATATATATATATATATATACACACACACACACAGTGCTGGTCAGAATTATTTGCTCACTTGGTAAAATTATTGGTAATAATTCTGACCAGCACTTTGTGTGTGTGTATATACTGTATATATATATATATATATCCAATATACCTCTTTTAAATAATTCCCACCCAAGGCATACGCAGTATGAAAAGCATGAAGGCATGAAAACCTATTCTTGTAGAGCCCCAAAACAAAGTCACTACGTAAAAAAGGGCATAATAGTTCCCCTTTAAATTTCATTCAGCAGATGAAATTATCATAGGATATTATAGGATGTATACAAATAAATTTGAATTGAATTGAATGTTGCCTTAGAAGGTACATATGTAGGTAGTAAATAGTGATGCAGCTCACTAGGGTTTGAAACAGAGCTCTCAGAGTTCAGTATTGAACACAGACTAATACATTTTTCTACTTGTGTAAAAGGGATATTTATTCACTCACAGTAGTCCTTTATTTGACATTCACCTGGAGTTTATTATCCCAACACACTCTGTTGACAGCTGCAGAGCTCCAGGAGAGAGTGTTCACCCATGCCAGACGACAGAGTAAGTTATTCACATGACCTGTTCCACTCATTCTCATGTTATTGGTGCTGTCTTAAATGGCACACTGTATTTGGACTAGCAGTCCTATTTCTGATTTAATGATTCAGATGGGTTATCGAGAGTCACTAAGCCACACAAATTCTCTGCTGTGCATCCATATGTTTTACTTAACTTTTTTATAATTTACTTTTTGTAAGTCCTATTATGGATGGATGGGATGGATGGGATGGATGGATGGATGGATAGAATAATAAACAGGCAGATGGATGGATGGATGGATGGATGGATAGATATTTTCTTAAAGCTAAATATAACTTCTCTTTTCTTTCTTTTGACTTCGGGAAAAAATTTTACCCAGTCATGTTCCTGACAGTTTTTTTTTTTTTTTTTGCCCCCATAGCTTTAATAGTCTCCCAGTTACAATGTGAATTTCTTCACAAATGTTTCATTGTCTGCATATATTTTTTTGCCCTGTTGTTTCAGACCAGGTCACCCACACCAATTGCTGAAGTAAGTCAGATTTTGAGTTTTATTTTGCATGCAGGCAAAAATAAAATTATTACATCATAATAAATTGTGGAGAATATTTATATTTTCAATTGTAAGAATGGCATTTTGTTTAACAGTGTATGTTTCATGCATGTTTTTTTTTCAGGGTTATTATGACATGAGAGAACGTATCCTCCACAGGTCGACAAGTCAGGGCTCCATCGGCTCTCCCATTTACAGCCGCCACAGTTACACACCCATGTCCCGCTCACCACAGCACTTCCACAGACCCGGTGAGCTATGAACCCTGCCTGGAGTGTCCATCAGTCTGCTGTCTTCATAAGACTCAATTTAATATTTCATCAAATCAAAATTTATTTTATGGATTATTTACAGCTTTCTAATATGCCCCCCTCAGAGAAAACCTTTCCAAATCCCCTCTAAACACTAGGACTTATGAAAATCGTGATGCACTACTATTCAAACATTTGGGGAATTTAAAAAGGTTGAAAAAATGTAAAAAAAATTAAATTAACACTTTTTACCCCGCAAGGACAAAGCAATCTTAATTATTTCAAACTATGTAAATGTTGTTATTTATCACTAGACATTGTTACATTTGTGCTATAATATATAAGTACATATCATATAAATAAATAATCAAATCATCTTTCTTATATATATTTATTAAAAAAGAGTGTGTAAACATGCCTTAATTTAGTTTTTAACTTAATTAATTATTTTTAAATACTGCGTTTTACTTTGTTCATTAAACATTTTGAGTCAAACTGAGGCTATATACATATACATACATACACATTAAATATTGATTATTGTCAAATGGCTGAAGAATGTTGTTTTTAGCTATTTCGCCCAGCCCTAATTTAAGCTATTCTCCCTATTGACCTCTGACCCTGTTTCTGATTGGAGGCACTGAGCCGTCCAGTGGTCGGAGTTCCCCAGGGTCCAGCACCCCTCCTCTCCCTCTGACCCCTAAACATTTTCACCTGCCAGGTACTGTTGGGATTCTTCCAGCGGCCCTCTGTGTGTCAATCCCAGCATGCCCCTGTGTTTAAGCACACTTTCACAATTCATTACATTTTCTATATCTGGTTATCTCTCTGTCTTAAAGTGCCAGTTCAACTAGAAACGAAAATTCTGCACAAGCTAACAGCACTCACATTTTTGTTCAGATATGATATCTTATATCATATGTTAATTTGGTTATGGAAAATCCAAAGTTTACGTGATGCAGTTGTCAGTTTCTCCGACTTATTCTTTTTAAAACCCAGTAACTCAGATATCAAGAATTAAAATTTTAAACATTTACTTTTTCCTTTCTTTCAGATCAAGGAGTAAACATCTACAGAAAACCCCCTATCTACAAACAGCATGGTATAGTCATTCAGAATCTTTGAGGTCAACACATTAACTTTTACATTGATGAATGATAGGAAATTAGATTTGGACACATGCCTATTGATTTATAATACTAAAGCAGTGTTTCCCAACCAATTTGTGATATATGGACTCACACAGCCCCATCTTAAAGGGATAGTTCACCCAAAAATGAAAATTCTGTCATTAATTGGGGGGCTCCATTGACAGCTATTTAATTAACACTTTGAAGGCCCAGAAAGGTAGGAAAGGCATCGTTAAAATAGTCCATGTGACAACATTGGTTCAACCTTAAATTTATGAAGCAAGGAGAATACATTTCCGACGCGCGTTCGTGTCTTTCCTACCTTTCTGGGCCTTCAAAGTGTTAATTCATTTTTGGGTGAACTAACCCTTTAAGGTACTATCACACCCGTCACAAACACCAAACCTTTTAACTGCCTTTAATGGCCTTAATTATCACTTTCTAGCCATGTTCCGATCCTCTCTTTTTTTTCAGCGAAACTCCTGAGCTAATTTGTTGGTTTGAGGAGTTTGAGAAGATAAGAAAAAGATTATCTGAGAAAGACCTAATGATAAAGTGAAACTTGGGTAGAACATTTAACAAATTTAAAGTAATATGCACTCTTTGTATGTTGAAATTGAAATGCTATTGAAGCTCAAGTAGAAAATATCACTGAAGGGAAAATACACTGTCATTGGTACAATTTTTTATGAGAAGATGTAACTTATAGGAGGATAACTTACAAGTTTAACACAGCAAAATGGCGATGTTTAAGAATGTGCACCCCTGGTTGGGAATCACTGTTTTTAAGCATTGCATTGTGAAGATTGCATCTCTGAGTGAACTAGTTCTTAAAATGCTTGCCTATTTTTACTTAATTACTTTACTTATTTAAAATGGCTAGACAGTTCTATCATTGCAAGGATTAAAGCACTCATGTGGAGCAACTAGCTGTTCTGTTTACTGTTCAAGTCAGTTTACACAATCTTATTCAGCATCTGCATGACATTTAAAACAGCATACTGAATATACAGGCACGTTCATGTTCCCTTTAATGCTGCTTGGCTCACAACAGCAGGGCATTTCTACGGCCTTATCGATGAAGAAACAAATCTTAACAGTTCAGTGGTAACCTCAGCAAGGGTCGGAAATTCTTATTGAGAAAAAATCTTAAGGTCATGGAATTTCAGAATATTTCACTCCATGACTGTGTATGGTTTGTATGTCACTTTTCCATAATTCTGTGTTTTGTTTGTCTGTTTTCGTTTGGAAACTGTGAGTCCCTCCACCTCATTAATATCTGCTTGTGTGCCATTTAACACCACCTCAATGTTAACATGTAAGTATTGTTTGAAGTCTTCTCAACTGAGCTCATTTCACTATAAATATAAATCAACCAACCGATCAATCAATCATCATTAAAGCGTCTTCTGATGAGTGCCTGAATAGCTTTCATTCATATTCATCAATAACAAAACTTGCACAAAAAAATTGCACGATTTTTAAGTTAGTTCTGCATAAGTTAGTATCTGCTAATTTATTTAGTGACCGCGTATTACCAAACATGTAAAGTCATGCAAGTAACATCTGTTATTTTTTTTAAATAATTATTACATTGACAGCTTGTTGCTGATACTCGAGTATTGTTTATCACCAAGCATTGAAAAAAAGTAAATAAATAGGCCAAATCTTAAGGCCACGTCCACACTACTGCGTTTTCGTTTAAAAACGGAGACCTTTTGCTACGTTTGCACCTCCCGCCCAGACTAAAACGGAAAAAACGAAGACCTAAAACGGAGAAGTTTAGAAACGCTGCCGATCCGTTTTGCGTTTTGAATCTCCGGAGGGCGTTTTAGCGAAGACGGGACAAAACGGAGGACTTTAGAAACGATGACGTAGTAGAGGCTCACGCTCGCCTCTATGATTGGGTGTCATCAGTCATGACGTATCCTTCCCTGATTCGTCAGCCACCCATCACATGTCAATCCGTTTCCTGTTTACACCGGCACGCGCATGCCCAGTGTTGGTGAGTGGTCACGTGATCCGCGTTTTCAGGCATTTTAATGTGGACGGAGATCAATTCTAATACGCAGATAAAACGCTGGTGTGGACGGAGATCGTATTCGTTTTAATTCTCCGTTTTTAAACGAAAACGCAGTAGTGTGGACGGGGCCTAAGTTTATTGCTATTTAAATGGGTCATATCACACAATATAGTTTTTTTTCTCTCTCTGAGGTCCACTTATAATACAATATCGGTGCCAAAACATTATGGGCCCTATTTTAACGATCTGAAACGCAAGTGTCAAAGCGTAAAGCGCAAGTAACTTTGTGGGCGGATCCCGGCGCTGTTGCTATTTTCCCGGCGGGATAAATGCCTCTTGCGCCTGGCGCAAATCTAAAAGGGGTTGGCCTGAAGTAGCTTCATTATTCATAGGTGTGGTTTGGGCGTAACGTGAAATAAACCAATCAGAGCGTCATCTCACATTCCCTTTAAGAGCAGGCGCGCTTGTTCTAAAGCGGATTCCTATTATAACGGCGGATTTGCCAGGCGCGCGCCAGGAGCGGTTCACAGCCGAGGAGAGCAGCGTTCTCGTCAGAGAAGTGACATTGGGGATGGAGAAAGTTTGAGAAACCCACCCAAATTAACTTCTGTTAAACAGGCGTATGATAATTTGGGTAAATGTGTAAGCTACATGTTTTTATAATAAATTGTCTATCTATCTATCTATCTATCTATCTATCTATCTATCTATCTATCTATCTATCTATCTATCTATCTATCTATCTATCTATCTATCTATCTATCGTAATAATGTATGATTTGCAAAAATGAAAACTGCTGCTTAGATGAGAGAATCGTATGCGTGTTGTGCACACGCTACATTGATTATGGCCAAGCATGCGCCCTTAAAATAGCATAATGAACAACGCGCAACGCGCCACTGACTTTAGACTAGGTTTTTTCTGGTCAGTGGCGCAATTGTTTTATAGAACAGCAAAATAGCATGAGGGAAAGTTTGCACCGGAACACGCCTCCTCTTTGCGCTGAACCGCCCCGGGGAGCGCAAGTGTATTTCTTAGTTAACCGACGTGCGTCTGTGGAGGGAAAAGTCCGCTTTGCGCGGGTGCAAAATAGGAATGATACATGCATCAGTGTACAAAGTCATTTGCGTCGAGTGCAAGATAGGGCCCTATAAGTTGACACAATTTATTTTTAATTTTTACAATCTGCAATGAAAAGTGTCTTAATTATATTAAGATCAGCATAAAATGGTCAGGGATCTTGTTAAAAATAAACTTCAGCCGCTTGTTTCTAATGTTAGGATCATTTGGAGTCACATGCAGAGCGGCAGGTGCTACACACGGATGGATGGATGGATGGATGGATGGATGGATGGATGGATGGATGGATGGATGGATGGATGGATGGATGGATGGATGGATGGATGGATGGATGGATGGATCGATAGATAGCTCTGCCCCCACATTAACGTACACGCTATGCAACACAGGCACCTCCCCCCTAAAGAGTGGACACGCCCCTTACTGCTGATTGGCTACAAATGTGTCTTGGTGCTCGGTCCGATCCACTTTCAACAGCGTTTCTCAGAAATCGCTTACTGCACCTTTAATTGGTCTGATGTCAGTAAATTTAGAACAAGAGTCCCCCCCCCCCCTTCCCCCAGCTTTGTTTCAGTTTTCTTTTTTCCATCAGGGAGAGCATTTTTACTTCTGACTATCACTGTATCGGATTCTTTGTGATATGACCCCTTTAAATGCAATGTGTTCTGAAGCCAGTGATTGTTTGTCAGATTCCTGCATGGCTTATTTTGGCTGAGTGATTTATAATTGTAGATGTGCATGTTTAGCATGCAAGCAAACAACCAATAGTCTCTATAGTAGCATTGTGAATGTGAATGAGGAGAGGCCTTAAACTCTTATGCCACAAATGGCTTGCAGCAGGTGGTTTTTCTGCTATCTGTTGGTTAGATGTTGGTGTAGCCACACTGATGGTCCAGCTCCCCCGGTTTATTGATCTAGATTCAGCTGCCTTTGCAGCCCAGAGCAAGTCTGCTGATGACATCATCAAATCGGCCAAATTCCCCTCAGCGTACGCCCCTGGTCCCGACTACCCAGCAATGATAGAGACAGACTGCTGGTCCTTGCCGATCTCCCATGCTGCCCTAGGTACTGTGGGAACTACAACCTTGCCCTCAAGATTTAAAGCAGATTTATTAACATATAGAAGAATTGTAGACGTAGATGCAGTAAATGCTAGTAAGTAGTAAGTTGCTTCTTCCTGATTAATAGTTTAATATTCAATATCAAATTGAAATCTTATATAGAGTACCTTTTTCTTGCAGTACTGTAAAGTTTGTTTATCATTGTGTTTCAAATTATTGTATTATCGCATTAAAACAGCTTTTGGTGCTGGATTGGCATAAAAAAAAGAATAGTGTAACGTTAAAAAAACGTTAAAACCGAACACTGAGATTGACTTCAAACGTCTGTGTTGTCTTTCTGTCCATGTGTTACTGTGTAATCGTCTGTCTTGATGTAATACACAAGTGATCATTTCATGTCTGTTCTATCAGGAAGTATAAATACCGAATGTAAAATGTGTTTCCTTTATATAAAAACAGATTAAAGACTGCAGAATTTCTGGCATAGACTGTCTTTCTACTGTCTTTTACATTAGCTCTCCCCTCCATCCTTGATTTCAGGTGTTTGTGTCTGTGACTGTGTCCCACTAAGGTGTTTTTGTTGTCGTTGTGCTGCTCAGGAACAGACGGGTGGAGAAGGTCAAGAGAGGAGGATGAGGAGGAGCTTCAGAAACGCAGACAGATTCAGGAGGAACATCTCAACAAGGTCAGGAACTGAAAGAATGATGCAACACAGAGAGCAGCTCTAGAACTTGTTCCTGTCTAAATGGCTTCATGTTTCTGATTCCAGATCCAATCTGGTTTGGGGAAAATGATCCTCAAAGAGGAGATGGAGAAAGAGAAGATCCGAGAGAGTCATGAACGGAGTCAATCGGCACAACGCTACGAGCATGGAAGCAGTAATGCTCCTCAGTACAATAGATTGCAAACTAGACATTCATGTTCTGATTTTTATTGAGGTAGTAAATAGGATGCAGAATTTGAATTTAAGGAATCAGGATTAATGGAATGAAATGTATACTACATATATTTAAAAATACATTTTAAAAGGAATAATATATATACAGTAAATATTATTGGACCCAATTGTTTCATGGTGAATGTATACTATGTTATTACAATTGCAGATCAAAGTTCACCGTCTAAATCAGGCTCACTGCCTGGATACGGGCGGAATGGACTGCATCGGGTAAGATCCTTTCTTTGGAGGAATCTGTGGGACATTACTTATTAATCATAATATAATGTAATGTAATATATTGATTAAAGAGATATTACACTGTAAAATTATTAACTGTTAAATTATATTTAAAGTTGTAAATGAAACAAAGATTATTGGAGTACTTTTTACAAGAAAATACTCTTTCAGTTTGTATACTTTCATTGTGTTACTTTCCGTTTGAGAAATGTATTAGTCGTTTCTGAGTTAAAATTTTGTCAAACTAAATTCAACACCATTATTATTATATATATATATATTTTTTTTTTTTTTTTTTTTTTTTTTACAGTGTATTCAACCCATTTTGTCTGTTTCTAATGTGTGTTTTTTTTTTTTTTTTCAGCCTCAGTCGACTGATTTTACACAGTATAACAGTTATGGGGACGTGTGCGGTGGGATGAGAGGTTCGTTTATCTGTCTCTTTATTTAGTTTAACTTAAATTACATATGTGACCCTGGATCACAAAACCAGTCACACAAGAAGCACAGGTATATTTGTGGCAATAGCTAACAATACTTTGTATGGGTCAAAATTAATGGTTTTTATTTTATTTTTTTTGCCAAAAATCATTAGGATATTAAGTAAAAATCATGTTTCATGAAGATATTTTGTAAATTTCCTACCGTAAATATATAAAACATTTATTTTTGTGAGTGAATGCAGTAAATGGACAATTTTAAAGGCAATTTTCTCAATGTTTCGATTTTTTTGCACCCTCAGATTCCAAATTTTCAAATAGTTGTATCTCAGCCAAATATTCCATACATCAATGGAAAGCTTATTTATTCAGCTTTCAGATGATGTATACATGTCAATTGAAAAATAATGGACCCATGTGACTGGTTTTGTGGTCCAGGGTCACATATAGGAACATGTAATGATAGCAAATAATAGTCAAATATGTTTTGGTCTATGTATTATGGAAGTAGTATAAATGCATATGAATAATTCTCATGTTGGTCATTTTAATGAATGAAAATAAAAACAAATCTTTTTTTATTTTCTTCTTAACAGAGTTTCAGGTACGTAGATATGATTACCTCTTGGAATCACTCTGTTTTCATTTATCCTTATTGCTTTCTTATAACTGATATGTAAAATAGGGTACAACAGGGCCAAAGGCACACCTTAAGAAAAATGTGCTTTTCACTACTCTCATAGTGTATGATTGCAGAAAAAGATGTATTTGTATTGAACATTTATGGAGCAACAGATTTTGTGTGAAATAAATCCTAAAAGTGGTTTGTTTTGTTTACAAATCTTATAAATGTATGAGGTGGCAAGGTGGGCCTTTTAGCCCACACACAGGGTAAAATGCACACATTATTTATACAAATACTTTAGCTAAAATAATGTTTTTAATAATTTCTAAGTTAATAATTGTTCAAAACAATCACTTTAGCAAAGTGTGTACTATTTTCTGTTTATTTTGATAAATTAAACAATTCATTTTTGTTCAATAAATAATTGAATAATATGGAAATATATTTTAAAATTATAGAAACCAAATTATTTAAAAAAGTAAACATTCTGAAAGCATTGAAGGAGATCCCATAATAATTAAATATAGATTTACAGTAGTAACAATAAATTATAGTTTATTATATGATATGATTAATAGCATATTTTTTAAATATGATGGTTTCATTATAAATATGTTGATTATCTCGGTAACACTTTACAATAAGGTTCATTAGTTAACTACATTAGTTAACATTAACTAAGAATGAACAATACTTCTTCAGCATTTATTCATCTTTGTTAATGTTAATTTCAACATTTACTAATACATTATTAAAATATTGTTAACATTAGTTAATGCACTGTGAACTAACATGAACAAACAGTAAACAGCTGGATTTGTATTAACTAACGTTAACAAAGATTAACAAAAACAGTAACAAATGTATTGCTCATGGTTAGTTCATGTTAGTTAATACATTAACTAATGTTTAATAAATTAACCTTATTGTAAAGTGTTACCATTATCTCTAAGGTGGACAGCCAACCTATTTACCATCTGAATCTAACCATGTCATGTCAACAAATGGAAAAGTCAGCCAGCTGTTTATTATCATGGTGACTTTTGCCACAAATACCATACGTTTACATATTCTTCCGTTATTGAAAAACTGTTTTTTTTTAATTACCTTGAACAAAACTGAAAATCATTAACAAGACCTTTGTCTCAAAATATATTCAATGGTTTTAGCAATTCTCATTTTCTACTTAAATCTACAACATTGTAAAAAACATCAGATATTAGTTCAAAGTATAGTGCAGATTGCATCAAGGATCAGCCAAAAATCCACTTGCATTGTGAAAAGCAGATGTTTTGGAAAGTGCTGTGGCAAGTTTTTGTGCAAGGTTTAGAGGAAAATAAAATCAAAGGCGCATTTAGCCCCGTTGTATACCCTATTCTTTAAAAAATAATATCTTCTACATGCTCATACTCATTCAAACAACATTATGTGAATTAAAATGGAAAGAAACAGCTGTCATGGCTCATTAAAGTAGCTTCATGTTCTCACTCTGTCTATGATTTGTTTCTAGGCCATGCATGATGGCCACCGCACAGCCACTAGAATGGACAGAGGAGTGTCTATGCCTAACATGCTGGAACCAAAAGCAAGTGTAACACATTAAACTAGCAAAACATTATCTGGTATTGAATACGAGTTCAATTATTAGGCTGCTTAACGTCCAAGAAAGTACTTGGATGTAATGGTACTACAGCCGGATTTAAGGGCCATTCACACCAAGGACGATAGCTATAACGATAAAGATATAGACCTTATGTAGTCCCGCTCCTTTTCAGCTTTGGCCTCATTGTGTTCTGTCTTCCGGTTTGTATTTCATGAAGGTAAGATCTTATGGATTCATGAATGAACCGCTCGTTTTAAAATCTTTCCGGTCTACTGGCATTTGTTATGACATTCGCTTCAAACATTACAAAGCTCAGGATAACTTTCGTTAACTCTACAATACAGTAAGTGGTCAGAATTACTGGCACCCTTGGTAAATATGATCAAAGGTGGCTGTACAAATAATCTTTTGATCTTTCATTCAAAAATGTTTGCAAAAATCAAACCTTTCATTGAAGTAAAAATGAAAATGGAGGGAATATCACATTATGAAATAAATGTTTTTCTCCAAAACATGTTGGCCATAATTATTGGCACCCATTGAATACATTTTGCAACCTCTTTTTGCCAATATAACAGCTCTGAGTCTTCTCCTATAATGCCTGATGAGTTTGGAGAACACCTGACAAGAGACCAGAGAGCATTCCTCCATACAGAATCTCTACAGATCCTTCAGATTCACAAGTTCATGCTGGTGCTTCTTCTCCTCAGTTCACCCCATGCATTTTCGATAGGGTTCAGTTTAGGGGACTGGGACGGTCATGGACCCATTTTTGTGTTGATTTTGATGTTTGTTTTGGATCATTGTCCTGATGGAAGATCCAACCACGGCCCATTATAAGATTTCTAGCAGAGGCAGTCAGGTTTTGATTTTCTTTTATCTGTTGGTATTTGCTAGAATCCATGATACCGTGTATCTGAACAAGATGTCCAGGACCTCCAGCAGAAAAATAGGCCCACAACATATAAGATCCAGCGCTATATTTAACCGTGGGGCATGGGGTACTTTTTATCTCTGTTTTCACCAATTTAGACAATATAGACACAATTAAGTAACATCTTTAGTTGATTGGAACTTCTTAATTATTACTCTGATGGTGGAAATGGGAATTTTCAATGCTTTAGCTATTTTCTTACAGACACTTTTTTATTTTGTGAAGCTCAACAATCTTTTGCTGCACATCAGAACTATATGAAGTCTGATGTGCAAGAAGTCATAGATAGACAATTTCATGTTCCTAGTCACCCTGGTGTGCTAAAAAAGTTTATATTAATGGGAATATACTTCAGAGATATTTTACTCATAAAAAATTCTAGGGGTGCCAATAATTGTGGCCAACGTGTTTTGGTGATTTTCCCCCAACTTTCAATTATTTTACTTCAATGAAAGGTGAGATTAAAAAAAAAAAAAAAAGAATGAAAGATCAAAAGGATAAACAATGCAGATTTATTTGTATAGCCATCTTTGGTCATATTTACCAGGGGTGCCAATAATTCTGACCACAACAGTAAGTAATTCCAGCTAATTGTTCTTCGACATAAATATACAGAGCAACCGCAAAAACGGAAGGTCAAAGACAAAATTCTAAAGATGGCTGCGCGTTTATTTTTGTGGCGCATAAGCTCTATAGTTCTAAATCTAAAAGAACAGCAGAGTCCACAGCACAACTATAATGGCACAGAGAAACTGTATCTGCGTCCCGACTCAGAGTCTGTATCCTTCGAAGGTCAAATGCGGCTTCAATATGCGTTTTTTCTGTTCCTGTGACATGAAGGATACAACAGATGGATCCTTCGCGGCCTTGCCTACCCCAGCATTCATTGCGCGCCAGTGACGAAAGGATTTTTTTGAGAGAGAGGGATTTTTTACTACACTTTTAAACGTAGTAGCCTCTGAATTGGGACACAGCCGATTTCGTTGGAGTCATTTTCAGAACGACTTTTTCTAGCTGATGAACGATAAAAACATGACAGCCAATCAGAATCCATTGAGCATTTAAAGCGGCAGTAGGCAAAACTGCGGAGCGTGATTACAATAAACAGAACGATATTGTCCGCTGGTGTGGATGCTAATAGAGTTATCGGTAACGCTTTAGATTACAGCCCGGAAAGTACTGTGTAATTAAGAGGAATTTACAGTGTAACTTTCGGTAATTATAGTGTACCTATAAGTACTTGCATTTAAGTATAAGGGAACAATATTTTAAGTTTGGGGAATAAAGGGGTAACAACCAGGAGAATTAAAAAAATATTTATACTGTAAGTATTATAGAACTAAGGGGAACTTATTCTACTATTATGATACAACAATCTTACATTTGGGAGCAATTTAGCAAGAACATACTCTGCGTACCTTTTTGTAATAATTGTGTACCAATACATACTGTATAGGCTTTTTAAAAATGACAGGGTACATATCTATGCATTTATACACTTTTTTTTTTCTTTTTCTTTTTCTTTTTTGATCGCAAAAGTGCAGATGTTTAAGTTTGAGCTTACATAATTTTTAAATACTGGGAAATATACTTTAAGCAAAAGTTGCAATAGTTTTCGTTTTTAGATTACTTTATTTAAAGTAACAACAGGTAACTTTTCAACCTTCATAATATATTTCCAAGTCTCTTGTGATGGTACATCGACTTACAATAGGTTGAATGACACGTCTGCCATAGCCTGATGGGGTCTGTAGCGTTTTTAATCGTACTTTTAAACTTCGGGTTTCGGGTAGTAACCGGCGAACAAAGAGAACTACAAAATTCGACTGCTTTACGGCATATACGTCACTTCCACCACCACCCCCCACTTCCTTAAAATCGGACTTGCGAGCCAAATGTTATAGTCATGGCCGAAGCAGCACAGAAAAACAAGAAAGCAAAGGTTTTATCGGAGCAAAGCAAAAAGAGAAAGTGATCGCGTTAAAGGCAGAAAGAGGATCAACATTGCAGAGCTGCCAACTCTCACGCATTGGCCGTGAGACACCCGCATTTGATTTGTTTCACACGCTCACACGCCACACCCCCGGTTTCTCACGCTAAATTGTCAACCCGGTCGGTCAAATGCCTGAAAGATGAGTTTATCTATAGATCTCTACCTGTTGAGCCACTCGTGATCGACAAGTTATACCGCAAATTAGTTCAAATCTCCCGGAATCTAGAGCGAGCGCGCACGCGAGACAGAGACTGTGCTCCAACGCGCGCGGACGGCAGAGAGAGAAAGCGAGCGAGAGACCTTGCGTGTGCAGGGAGCATCGAACCCCCCATCGAAAAAAGAATGCCTCTCTCTAACCTCTCTAATTCGCTAGAGTAATTGCGAATTATCAATCTGGTAGCTAGTAAACGATATTCTAGTTTTTGATGGTTAGCTATCGCTAGTATTCTCGTTCTGATTTGAACTTTGCAATCGATGAAATGCAAATAGCAAATGTTTGACCTAAAAAGTGTATTCTACTCAACATGTACAAAGAAAGGAGGAAGATTATTAATAAAATCATATTTTAGGATACCTAACATGTCTGTGATATTTGTTTATTTGTCTTGCCTCAAGCTATAATGCAAATCGATTTGTAAAATTTGCAGATTCATTTATGGTAGCTTGATATTATAATATTGACGATATATGGTTATTATCAACCACTCAAACATTGCATTGAAGTATCATATAGATTCAGTAAAACGGTAACCAATAGACTAGGCTACTATAATGACGCTGGCTTGTAAACGTGAGCATCGCGATCATTTGTCGTTAGAAAAAAAATAAAACCCATGAAATTATATTCATATGACATGCTGAAATATATGCTACTGTACCTGGGATGAAGACATTTCACACGCGACGCAAGCAGAACACCTGCATGTGACCTCCTCCTACAGTGTTCAGGGCTATCCTGGTTGTCAACAATTGCACGTGCATGTAGGATGACAGAGTTTATGACAGTAGTAGAGGACAATACTGTTTCCCAACTGTAGGGGGACCCCGAGAGCAAAAGTTATCTGTTGTTACTTTAAAAAGCCTATACAGTATGTACTGGTTTACCATTTTTCAAAAAGGTGTGCAGTGTATCTTCTTGCTAAATTGCTCCCAAAATGTAAGATTGTTATATCATAATAGTAGAATAAGTACCCCTTAGTTCTATTCTTTCAGTATAAATCGTTTTTTAATTCTCCTGGTCGATACCCCTTTATTCCCCAAACTTAAAATATTGTTCCCTTATACTTATATTGTAAGTACGTTATGGGTACACTATAATTACTGAAGGTTATGCTGTAAAATCGCTTTAATTACACAGTACTTTCCGGGCTGTAATCTAAAGTGTTACCGAGTTATCTTTATAGTTATCATTCTTGGTGTGAACGGGCCTTTGTGCTTTCCTGATTTATTTGACCCTAGACTACATTTCAAACAATTAAAACAAGTTTGTGCATTTTTGTACTGATTGAGATGTGTCCTTTAAAGGTATATCCATATGAAATGCTGAAGATAACCAGCCGCGGTCGCTCCAAACTGCCCAGAGATGTGGACAGAACCCGACTAGAGGTAATTGCTCACAGCATATGTATCACAAAACACCGCATTATGATATAATCAAGTGATTTTTATACTTTTTTAATTAATTTTTACCTGCATTTCTAGCGCCACCTGTCTCCAGAGATGTTCTTTGAAATCTTTGGGATGGAAATTAAGGAATTCGACAGGTTACCACTGTGGAAACGCAATGAACTGAAGAAGAAAGCCAAACTCTTCTAACCGGGATGTACAACATCTACACACACTCACACGATGTATCATACAGCTGTTTGCTAATCTTCTGTTGTTTCTTGCTAAAACTATAGCCAGAAGACAGTTCCATTCTGCAATATTATCATATGATGTCAGTTTGTAATAAACGGAGGGTCCAAGCATTTCAGATATATCTCCAAAATTCGCAACACTTTGTTCTCTTTGTCTCTGTTGTTTTAATATTCCCTCTTCCAGAAATGAGTCTTTGTCTTTTTGTTCTTTGTTCTTCTTGCATATCTTGGAAAATCATGTTCATGCAGGTCTGATCATCTGAACCTTTGTACATTTGCAGTCATAATCCATTTAATTCAGTGTTCCAGTAAAGACTCCTCTATTTGCGTCACTTTTGTTCAGGGAGGGATTGTCGATGCTACACTGTGTGGGTGTCTGTGTCTTTGTACCTGTTCATGTAAGTTTTGAATGCATTTAAACAAATGTAATCCATAGCACATATCCATGTATTCACCCTTTACTACTGTACCAGCCTCTAAAGCATCTGTAAAATTAAAGGTGAAGCGTGTAATTTCTGGGCCAATAGCAGCACCAAACATAATTGGGAAAAAAATTGACAGCTAACAGGGAATGTTCTCAGAATGTTCTCGCAAGGTTCTCTCAAAGTTATGAACAAACGTTCTTCTGAGATTGTTAATAGAATGTTCTTTCAAAGTTATCTGGTCTTTAATGCTATTAAAACATTAGCACAAAAAAAAATGTTTATAGATCATTCATGAACTGTTTTTCTGAAACAATCTACGTTAATACTTAAAAACATTCAAAATGAACGTTCACATGATACTTGCAAAATGATAAAACAGAGACAACATTCCTTTAATGTTTTCTCTAACGTTCACATTTTTTAAAAAACTGAACGTTTTAAACGTTTTGAGAGCATTCAGAAATAACGTTTTCATAACTTAATCGGAACGTTAGCAAAACGTTCTTAGAACATATTTTTGTTGGCTAGGTTGGTTGAGCCATGGGCTTCTCAAACCTATATCTTTTTCATTTGATGCCACTAGTGGTGCAGAACTGACACATTTCACCTTTAAGCTTTCTGAAGCTAATTTAACTGTTGAATCAATGCTGATGTCCCTAGTATATTGTACATTTAAATAATAGAATACAAATTTAAGGTAAAAATGAACTGCATTTGACTTTTTTTTTAAAGAGCTGATACTCACACTGCCAATTTATTGTATTTCAATTGTATTTCTACAGTAAATGAAAATGTTTCAATGAGCAACTCTCAGTAAAACCAAAGGCATTACAAGAGAACGGGCTCTAAAAGAGTTGTAGTCTACAGCTGTTTTTATTTTATTTCATCCTCATTAATCAAATCTGACGTCTTCATATTTCTTTATGCACACTACAGTACACTAGGCTTCATGGAAAGCATATTAAAATTACCTTACATTTCCAGCTTTTCCATGAATATGGGAAGAGTGCCGAACTGCAGCTTTTATTATCAGCATTATTGTGAACAATAGGCTACTTTTATTTTGTGCAACCGAATATAGTAGGCCTACAGTCGTTTTTAAGGACCATTCAGTATGTTTTATTACTAAGAGAAAAACTGAATATGTAACCACCATTATATTGCTGATCAATTCCAAAAAATATTACACATCATTTTAAAAGGTGAAAATCATATTAGTTTACTTTATCATAAAATCATAATAAATTGAGGTGAATTTTTAAATAATTTTGTTTTGAGCAGATGTCATGATGCACTGAAATATAATACAATTTAACCAGGTTTTTCCTGTGTCCTTAATATCACTTTCCATCCTGTCAAGTCTTTTGTAATATAATTTTTAAAAGGCTAGTTACTTGATGACATCATCCAACAGGAAGTGACATAATTTCGGAGGGAATTTCACAGCACAAACCTCAGTAAGTAGCCTATGGATTTGATCAGCTCTGTGATGTTTTGCGGTATTAAGTTGATTTGTCTCATTCTAAAACATTCCATCCGGTCTGATAAAATGACAGATGGTAAAAAAAAATCTCTCAAAATTAACCTCCAGTTTCATGTAGCAAACAAACATTCACTCCTTCATGGAGCAGTGGCTGACTTTAGCTGTTTATTCCCATTCTGTCAGGCATGATGGAAATATTTTTGCAAAGTTAGTTCTGAATAACTTTAACGAAACGATTCCTAAAATTACAACATAAGCATATACCGGTACATGTTTTGCAAAACTTCAAAAGGTAGTGCATATGGGATTGATTTTGATACTGTATTTCTCCTCTAGAGGGCCACAGTGTCGCATTGTGTGTATTTGCTGGTGTCACTAGACACTTTATATAGCTCTGTCTGTCTTATAGAATGTGCAAATAAGAATCCACTAGAATGATTGTCCCTCTCTGTCTTAAATCAATGGATCTGCCTATGACCTATCCTTTGACCTTGATATAAAATAAAAAATTCAATAATGCATGAATGGGGATGGTAAATCACAACTCATAAAACTGCCATAAAGGTCAGCAGAGACACTGAAGTAATTAGTAACTATCTGTAAAAGTATAAATCACCATTAGCTAAATTGTGACATTAAAACAGAATTATGTATTTTAAAACAGACGGATTTCACTTTCAAAAACCCCATCACAATGGGATCTTGTGACGATGTTTCAGCAAACAGTCCGACCCATTACATATATTTATCTTGGATTATATTTTGCAATATTACCAGCGAATGACGGTTCGTGCTAATAGATGTTTAGCCAGCAAAGCATTATGATGGGAGAAACTTGGCATGCAGCTTCACAGCTTTCCAGACCATAAACACACGTGTTTTTCAGTCATGGTGGGGAATTTCCATCGACTTCAGTTGTTTTAACAATGAGCTAGGGATTAAACCTTCACAGAAATCGCAAAAATTAGCATGTATTTTAAGCAAATTTCAAGTTACTTACTATTAGGCCTACCGGTACTTTTGTGCACATTTAGTTTCCATAATGTAGGCAAAACCTGACGCAGAGAGACGCTCTCTCCTGTCAATGCTGTGTAGCTATTGATGACATAATGTAGTGTGCAGAGGCGGACAGAGTACAGAGCTTTTTTACTTGAGTAAAAGTACAGATACCCCTTGCTAAATTTTACTCAAGTACAAGTAAAAGTACTACATTCAGATGTCTACTTAAGTAAAAGTACTAAAGTACTTGTTTTTAAAAGTACTTGAGTATCAAGAGTACAAGAGTAGATTTTCTAAATATTGCATAATCTACTGCCACAGTGCTTACATTTATGCACAGAAACGTCCTACATGGAGTTATGAAAAATGTTAATGTTAATACCTTGGAGAATGTAAAAGGAATTGAAAGTAAAATCAAGTCATTTTCATCTTTTTACCATGTTGCTTTATTTAATTTAATTAAATTTTTGGGGGGTCCCATCTTTAAATGCGGGGACAACACACACACACACACACACACACCACATGTAAGGGTGGCGCTGCCAATAAAGCACCTAAAAGCTGTCACAAAGAACCGGCAAAAGGAATGATTATGAATATGTAAAATATAGCAAGGAGATATTTTAATTGTTTATTAATTAACACTTGTTAATAAACAAGTGTTTTCTTTGTCAATGTCGACTAGATGAAGTTGACGATGCTGACTCGCGATCTTCAGTAGTGAACGCGCCAGAGAGAAATGCACATTTCATACGGATTACATAAGCAGAGAGCAGTCTGTAGTCTGTTTTCTTTCGTTTTGAATTTTTCTGTTTAAGAGTAGACATGTGAGGCAAGTAGGCTACCACACTGTGTTTCGGTTCATTTATGAGACGAGCTCCAGTTCACGCACCGGCGCCTCCGTTTCTTATCTATCGTCTGCTATTTACTTCTTATTTATTAAACCCAGGCAATTGGTTGATGAAACATTGATTCAAATTAAGATACAATTAATGCAAAACGAAATTCAGGTTAAAGAAAGGTTTTGTGTTTTCTGTTTGATGTCTCTGTGAAAGTTTTAAAGCATTTTTTATGCCGCTTTCAGAGCGCTCACGTCCGTAACGGAGAACACGTCCATAACATTGTTTTTTACTCATAAATGCAAACCCGAAAAATAAAATAAAACAAAATTAATATTTTATGTACTGTGGAGACTGAGCGCCAACCCTTCTTCATTCGCTGGGTAGTAGCCTACTTTGGTTTGCGCAGTGTAATTCACATAATCAGTTAAAATATATATTTTGCCTCCTAAAGTTTTTTTTTTAAGAAATCAGAAATCCCTCGTGGCTACGCCACTGCCACATTTGAACCTGACTGTGTTAAACACACCACATACTCAAGAACATCAAACCAAATGCTTGGCTTACATTAATGTGTAATATAAAATCTGACCATGGAGTTGACTTTGGCGGAAAGCTGAAAGTGATTGCTGATAGGCTGTCCCAATCAGTGGCGCCTGCACAATCCAATCACGTTTGAGAGGGAAACAACAAATTGAGGGTTTCTGAGATTTTTCTTTACTTTTTTTTTTTTTTTACTCGGGTACTCACGGTTATGGATAGAAATGTATTGGAGTAAAGAGTACAATATTTGCCTCTCAAATGTACTTGAGTAAAGTCACGAGTACTCCCCAAAAATGATACTCGAGTAAAGTACAGATCCCTCAAAATTGTACTTAAGTACTGTACTCAAGTAAATGTACTCCGTTACTGTCCGGCTCTGGTAGTGTGTGTGTGTGTGTGTGTGGAGCCAGACAGCGATCAATTCTGTGCCTCCTGTGTGTCTTTGTAGGTTGGGCTATAAACAGTCCTGTCTTTAATTAAACTCATGCTGACCAGCAGGGAATGTAATAACCCTTAGCAAATATAGCCTAGTTTTGTTCTCTCTCTCTCTCTCTCTCTCTCTCTCTCTCTCTCTCTCTCTCTCTCTCTCTCTCTCTCTCTCTCTCTCTCTCTCTTACCTAAAGTCAACTCCATCCAAGATGACAGATAAAACGAGAAAATGTTGATTATAAATACAATTATTTTAATAGGGTACATGACATATTTTTTGTTCTCTGTAAATGTTAGATAAATAGCTTAGCAACTCTTGAAATCAACTGATTTGTGCATGATGAATCTCAAGCACTATTTTGCTGCCAGTGTAGAGTGTTCCACGTGTGTGTGTGTGTGTGTGTGTGTGTGTGTGTACGTGTGTGTGTGCGTGTGCGTGTACGTGTGTGCATGCGTGCGTTTGTCTGTCTGTCTGTCTGTCTGTCTTGATAGCTGGAAGGTATGTATGTGTTGTGTGTTATCTGTCAAATGTTGACCTGGATTAGCAGGACAGAGCAAACAGATCATAAAAAGTCATAAAGATGGTGTTTATTGTCCAGAGCAAATCAGCTCAACAGACACCGCTCTCTCATGTGCACTCATTCTGTTGTGTTTCTGTCTGTATCCATCTGAATATCTGCTTATGTGTTGCTTATTTATATATTATATGGATATTCAGATGCCCTACTGTAGAATTCCTCTAATACACATCTCTCTCTGAGTGTCTTTCCAACTCTTTCGTATGCAGTGAATTGTGAACCTGCATTGACCTTAGTTCAGGTGTGATCTGGAGCTGGTGACAGAGGTTCACTAAACATGAGCTTCAATCAGACATTGGCTATGCTCAGAATACTATTTCTGCCGTATACGATACTATAATGTGATACTAGAACAGATGTAATGATTGAGATTAAGTTTTTTAAGTTCCTCATTATTTGATCAGACTGACTGACTGGTGTTAAAATATTATGCAAAATTGGATTCAATGCAAAATAACGTCAAAGCATAGCCTATATGTTTAAAATGTTTAGATTTAGTTTAGACATCAGAGATATTTTTTGAACTGGTTTTGTGTCATATACCACAACATCATTAGACTTTCATCACTGCATTGTTAGTTTCGGAAGAACTGACTGAGAAATCATCAACAGGTTTACGTAACATCACAAATCCACACCGATTCATAAGAAACAAAAACGGCCATGCCAATGAAACGTCAGTGCGTCATGTGAACTTTTCACAGTCATTGAGGCAGAAAGAGTTTCCTCTCGTTCGAGTCAGAACTCATGGAGCATAACCCACGTTCCCCAAACTTCTCTATTCTCTATAATATTCATAACTCAAGTCTATGAATGCTGACTGTATGACCAGATGAGAATCCTATCGTCTCACTGAATGGGTCTTAACCTCAACACAGATGATCTGTTATGTGTTTTTAACATATTTTCCTTTGACTGATGACTTTATGTCCTGTTTCTACTTGTTGACTTGTTTCCAGTACTGAGATAAGAGTCCAGAAATGATTTCTGCCCGAAACCCATAGTAGAAATGATACAGTGTCACGCACAGGCCTGCGTTTAAAGGTAAAGTGTGCAATTATCTATGTCATCTTGTTTTTATACAGTACAGATTGTTTTAAAGGAGCTTCACAGTAATAAACAGGAACAAATGATCAATTCTTCAGCTCTAAAAAAGACAATAGTGTCATTATATTCAGTTCAATTCAATAACTGTGAAGCTCATCAATTATGAAACGAGTTCAATTCATATATGCTCTACAGAAGACAACAGTGTCGTCTGTATTCACTTTGAGTCAGTTCAATGTTGATTCAGTTCAGTTCAATAACAGTGTCGATGTTGCTAAATTACATTTAGAATTTAATAAACCTATAGCCTGAATTTGGAGCAGGACTATGTGTTTATTCTGTTTGGTACCACTAGTGGTGCAGAAACGTCCCACTTTACTTTTAAATACGTGTGTAAAAAACGTTTGTGACTCACTGGAACCGCTTGCAGAGCTGATTATCTCCAGAATGCCTAACGCAGGTTTGTGGTTTGTCAGTTGGCTTGTTTTCTCTCTGAGGGGGTGAAGAGCTGTCATGTTTGTCCTTTGCACCTCAGTGTGGGGTCATCTGATAACACTGCTTTGGTATGTGGCTGTGTGTTTAAGGAGCAGATGATGATAATGTGGCACTGCAGGAGAGCTCCTTCTTACTGTGATCTAAAAGTCTAGTCATTTCTCTGAATTGTAATTCGATGAGAAGATTGCAGTTTTGCACTTGAAAACAGGAACAAAAAAACTTGATTTAAATCAGTAAAAAGTTATTTATTTTCCAGTCTTGTCCAGTTCCAGTTTCCAGTTCTGTTTCCAAATTTTTTTTTTTTAAATCCAGTCCCTTTAATATTTTGGAATCAGCAAGGACACCCTAAATTGACCAAAAGTGCCAGTAAAGACACAAAATGATTATATTCTAAATAAATGGTTTTTGACTTTCTTTTCATCAAAGAATACTGGGGGGAAATCACAGTTTCCACAAAAATTACGCAGCACAACTGTTTCAGCATTGATAATAATGATAAATGTTTTTTTTTTTTTGATCAGCAAATCAGCATATACGAATAATTTCTGAAGGATCATGTGACACTGATGACTGGACTAATGATGCTGAAAATTCAGCGTTGCATCACAGGAATAAAATATATATATTATATTTTAAAATATAATTTTAAAATATATTCAAATAGAAAACGGTAATTTTACATTATGATTATATTTCACAATAGTAATGTTTTTACTGTTTTTTGTTGTTGTTTTTTAAATCGAATATGCAGGCTTGGAGAGCATGAAAGACGTCTTTCACATTTAAAAAAAATATTACCGACCCATTTTGAATGGTACTCTGTATATAACTATTTTGTTAGTACTTCATATTTCTACTTTACATTTTCTTTCCCATAATGTGGCTTTGAAATAGGCTTTCATACTACGCTCTTTTTTTTGCAATCCACACTGGCAATAACATTTAACAATTACTGTGAATAAGGCAATAAATTGTTTAATATAAAAAAAATACAGTATATAGTTATACAGATAACAAAGAGAGGTATACTGTGTTCACTGGATGATTGCCGGTTTTGCTGTGCAGCATATTGAAAGATGGAAACAACACTTAAATATATAGTTGCTGAACACATAATAAAATATTAGACTGCACTTTAGTACTCATGAAGTCTTTTGAGTGCTATCGATTATTCTGAATGTGGAAGATGCAAACAGCTTCTAACACAAAGTAAACTTCATTGAATTTCTTGTATTGATTTTATCTGATGTCCATGATTGGACTTTTATTGCTGTTTTAAATTACGGCATCTTTAATTAGTGAGACTGGACCAAGGGTCACCTGTAAAACAAGAGGCTTATACGTTATGACCCGAGAGATCATTTCCCTAGTAACCCTAAGCCTCTATACATGACTAAGACAGCTGATAATAATATATCCTTCAGCCAGATGGGGTCACTTCTCTGGGTCCATATCTCAAGCCTATACTTGAGCTCAACAATCCTTGCCCCTTAGCATTTTGGGATTGATATTTCCCTGCTAAAAAGGCTAGCACAAGGCCAGCACCAATTTAAATAGTCACACAAATAATCTGAGTTCCCTTTATTTGAGTTTTGCTTTTTAACACACTCACCGGCCACTTTATTAGGTACACCTTGCTAGTACTGATGCAAGAACTGATAAGAATGTAAAAATGTGTATCTTGAAATGCAATGTAAGTCGCTTTGGATAAAAGCGTCTGCCAAATGCATAAATGTAGTACTGGGTTGGACCCACTTTTGCTTTCAGAACTCCCTTAATTCTTCATGGCATAGATTCAACAAGCTGCTGGAAACATTTCTCAGAGATTTTGGTCCATATTGACATGATAGCATCAAACATAGCTGCAGATTTGACGGCTGCACATTCATGATGCGAGTCTCCCGTTCCAGCACATCCCAATGGTGCTCTATTGGATTGAGATCTGGTGACTGTGGAGGCCATTCGAGAATAGTCTCATTAGCTATGTTTCCATCCACACGTTTTTATCCGCATTAAGTGATATCGAATGAAAAATGCCTTATGGAAACAGTAAAATTCGACTGAATTTCATGAATATCGACTCAAATGAAATACGATCGGTCTCATCGGATTTTATCTTGATCGATATACGGCTTATGCGATAAACGCGGATGGAAACGTTATTATGGTGCGATCCATTTTGCCTAGTAAAACTTTTTTCGCAAATGTTGGCTTGAATTTGGTGCAATTCGGTGAGAAAATGAATGGAAACACCTTAACATGTCTCAAATCAATTCGATATACCAATTTGATCGCAAAACAGCATGTGACGTCGTTACGCACAGGTTTTTATCCGCTTTAAAGCCGTTTGATGGAAAAACACTTTCATCAGCTGTGTTCGCATGAGGTTTTTTACCGAACTTCAAATAATTCGATTGACAAGTGGATGGAAACATGGCTATTGTCATGTTTGAGAAACCAGTTTGAGCGTTCAGAGATGCTCTTCTCCAGACCTCGGTTGTAACGAGTGTATATTTGAGTTACTTTTGCCTTTCTATCAGCTGAACCAGTCTGGCTTTTCTTCTCTGAACTATAAAAAAAAACAAGGAAATCCCGCACATATCAATACTTGCAAACGAGTATCAAAATTTTATTAGCATCATGACCTTCATCAGGCATATACCTTCTCTGACCTCTGGCATCAACAAGGCATCTTCCTCAATCTGATTGTCAGTTTGAACTTCAGCAGATCGTCTTGGCCATGGCTACATGTCTAAATGCATTGAGTTGCTGCCATGTGATTGGCAGGTTAGATATTTGCATTAATGAGCAGTTGAACACGTCTAGCTAATAAAGTGGCCGATGGTATAAGCCACCGGGGCTCAAAGGGCACCGTTTACCATCTTTTGGTATTTAGCAGGACAAGTTACAACTATTGCAGATTATTTATGGCAGCTGTACACAAACTCAGCTGTGCATGAAGACAGATAGTTTTCACATAATCAGATTGAAGAGGTCATTTAAAAACTCTGAAGAATCAATCAACTGAGAAATACCCATTCAACATGTCCACCAGTGACTGAACCCTTGCTGTTTCCACTTAGAATGGTATTCACCTCTGCAATCATCTCTGTTTATCTTTCCTGGAAGAAAACGTTAGCAGCCAGTTAGCGCCCAGTTTATAGCCAGGTGAGAGGTGTATTCTGTAAAGAGCGGTGGATGATTTAATTAGTGTTTTTGCTTGTGTCTACAACACTGACCTCATGTTGCCATTTACAACTGATCTCATTAACGGATTGTTACCCATGTATGGTAGCTAATGCTCCTGACACGTTGAGCTACAGGATATCTCACCTCGAGATGAGCATTTATTCTAAATCAGGCCAGATTAAAGCAAGCAAGTACAGGATTGTGCATCGTCGGATATAAATAAACTGTACTATAGTGACCAAATCCACTAAAACTATTAGGCTACTAGTTGAGCTAGACTAATGAGAGCTTGGTGCACTGATTACTATGCAAACTTTTTCATTGTAGAAAAAGTAAATTCAAACCTTAAAATACAAAAAAAAAAAAAAACGTTTTTTTTAAACTTGTTTTTCAGTTAAAACAAGATAAATATACTTTAGAAGCAACACTGCATAGTTTTCTGTATTTTGTCTTACTACACTGTTATGCAATGGTTACTCATTTTTAACTTAACTCATTTTTAAATGCAATTTTTTTTTTTTTTTTTTTTTACTAATTTTATGCTATTGCAGTAAGACCGAATACACTGTAAAAAAGATCAAAGTTGGAAAGGGTTACGGTCAGGGTAGATTTTAGTACATTTTACAAGGAAGTCCTTTCAGTCTTTCTACTTTAAAATGACACATTTAATTCAATGTTACATGCTGTTTCTTTGTAATTATTTGAGAATATTAACTAGCAATTTCTGAGTGAAAAGTGTTTCAAAGTAAATCTTGTACCATTTTTTTCAGTGTACACTCATATTTAAATAAATAAAAATGAATTATTCCTTGATCTAGATTTTGGTCTGCTCGCACCTAATTCTCAGCGTTCTTTATACTTTTAGGCTAGACTGTATTAGCCTTTAGCACTCTGTAAATGTGCTCCTCTAAAGCCTCCATTGTGGGTTACCGTGGAGAATGTGCCTTATGGTGCAGGAAGTGAGGGGATTTGTCCTCTGGCTGTTTGGACAGGGGTTCCCGCTGAGGGGACAAGCTGTGATTCCAAACACCTTTTGAATAAAAGCTTCAGTGCACTTACAAAGGCGAGAGTTGAAGCGTAGTGCCATGCTTAGATTCACTGTAACATGTAAATGCAGTGCCTACAATTTGAGGAAAACTCAGTTCTTTGTTCAGTAGAAATTTATGAATGCCAAATGTCTCTGTGAACGACTTTGTAACCTAATGTGAACTACTGCGCTTCATACGCATGTGAGAACAAAGCTGTTCATGAACTGACCAGTCACAAACTGGATGAACAAAATACTGTATTGGTTCCTTTATGTCTCCCTTCTTACAAGGTCCCTGGCTTATTTAAATCTCTTTTGAATATTAGAGAAAGGAATAGTGAGATTTTAGCATCACCGTTTCCCTTATATACCAACATCCAGCAGATGGAATAGCAATAACAGCGGGTGAGTCGAGGTTAATCAGCCGTCCGTCTCTTTCTGGCCTGTTTTTACTCTAGCTCTAATGACTTTCACAGTAAGAACTGTGTTCTCCCAAATCCAATTGCATGCAACGCTCTCAACATTTTGACTGTACCTGCTTAAATTTGTGATGTAAGAATATGCCAGATGTATGAAAAGTGAATGAGACATTCATGCATGGACCTAAGAGTTTGGGGAAATATTATATAAAATATAATTATAATTATTAGGAACTTTTATGTCACAGTGGTTGATTTTTATTTGAACAAAAATATAACAAAAAATTAAATCTTGACTTTTTTTGCTATTTTTCCAATTCCTTTTATGTGTAAATTGATTTTATAGGCTTTATTAGCTTAAAATATGAAAATCCCTTATAATAATATGGATGTTGATGATCTAAAAGGTAACTATAATTTTGTAAAATCAAGTAAATTATGCAAAATTCTGCACAAGAAATAAAAAAAAAAACGTTTTTTAAATGTGTTTATATTTTTAATGTGTTGTATTTAATATTATTAATACTATTGTGCACTTTTATTTTTTAATCATGTCTCATCATTTATTTTTGATGTTTTTCAATTGCTTTATGTGTAGATTTTATTGTTTTACCCTTAACCCGGACCCTTTTCTAGCTTAAAATATGAAAATCATCATCTTTCATCTATAAAAATCATCAATATTTAAAATGTTTAAAAATTTGATGATCTCACCTGTAAAAGTAATTTATTCAAATTATGTAAAATATGCAAAATTATGCAAAAAAAGAGGAAAAAATATTTGTTTAATTGTATTTATAGTGTACATAAAAAATACTAGCTTTGGGATTAGCCTTAGCAAGACATGAAGTTGACCTTTTTCATTTAATGTCTAAAATGTGATCATGTCCATCACAAAATAAAAGTTGATTTGAGATGTGGCTGAACATTTGTTCATGATGGTTAAGGGGAAAACACAGCAAAAATGTGTTAGACAAAAATTAAACAAATTAGAGTTTAACTCCACAGGGCCAAAAGTAAAGTACCTATTGTTGCAGGTAATGGGTAGAACGCTAGTTAAGATTCAAATGTCTGATTACCATCATAAAACATAGAATTTCTGCATTATAAATTTGCATCTACAGTTGTCACACACCTGTCTGCTCATTCTGCCTCTTTACACTCCACTTCAGTCAAGCAAGACTTTTTCTGTCGGCTGCACACAACCTCCATCTCACAGATGAAACGACACTGTCTACAAGTATAGAGAGGTTTCATGTTGTACATAGTTGTAGACATCAATTTTCATTGACTGATACATTAAACAGCAAACGTTTGCCTTATCAATCAAGTCATTTTTGTTATCCATCCATCAGTGCTTGAGTGCTTGTATCCACGTGTGTGTGTGTGACAGGCTGTGACCCTACAATGGAAACCCATGTTGAGAAAGACTGCAGGAAGTTGATGAATGAGAGCTCTTCCCTCGTGACCCTGTGACCTGAACTCCCACTACACCCTGCAGGTACTAGTCTGAGGTCATCACACGACTTTACAGCCAAACCCCACCCTATGAGGTCAGTGGTCTTTACCCTCGACAGAGTTCCCTCCCGCAGGGCAGGTGTAAGGTAGAACGAGTCTGAAATGCACTTGATGTGGAACTTCACATGCTGACGGATGAGATCTGCGCCTCTCTATAGACTTCAGTCAGGGTAGATACCATGTTTCATTTCAAGCACATGAGGCTGTGAGTCTGTGCATTGCGTACGGATGAAGTTTATAACAAACTTTTTTTCCAGTTTTAACAATATTAAATATTCAGAAGGTATGCATATCTTAAATTAAGTTGTAGGCCAATATTATTTTTCATACCCAATTCACAATTTTGTTTTCTCTTTTTGTAGGAAAAATGTAATGCCTTTTTTATGCTTATTTAAAACTTACACTTTTTTATGCTTTTTTAAAACTTACACTTATAAACATACACTATGAATTTTTATTTTTTATTTTTTATTGATCTTGTTTTAAGGATATTTCTCCTGGTAAACAAAATAAAAACACTCACAAAAAAAAAGACTTAGAAAAATAAAGTAAATTTGACCTAGAAGCTTAATATATATTGCTCAAATAAAATATGCATTAAATAGGCATATACCCTGACTAAGGGATAAAATAAGTAGGATATATACTGTACGTGTGTGTGTGTGTACGTGCGTGCTGTGCTGTGCTGTGCTGTCAGTAAGGATGACCATCAGCCAGACTGACATGATTCTGAAACACAGAAGTATGACCTGATGTGCCCTTCGCCCTCAGGATGTACCACAGTTTTGACCTCTGTCTGGTTTCTATTACTCTCTGAGATAGTTTCCTCAGATGAGTCACCTGCTGTCTGGACCGTAGTCTGACTGACCACTAAACACTAATGGAGGGTGAGTACAGGTGAGAACAGGAAATGCAGTAATGCTGTGGAGGAAATTACTACTCTTACCAGCATTTTACATGATAACGCTAGTGTTCAGAAAAATACCTGGGGTGCCTTTCTTTTGTTGATGTGCTACTCTCGTAACTATATTTTCCACATTCATGTGAAATATAATTATTTTATATACAAATACCATACATGCAATTATTTTTGTTTTGACTACGAACTTTATTTTGGATATGTTGTTTCTCTTGTTTGATCTAATTTAATTTTTTTTTTTTTTTTTACTAATTATGTTAACATGGTTTTCTGAACTAACCTGCACAGTCAATTTTTATACCAATTATAGGGATGGGTCATAATGGTCGACTAATTTGTTATAGTTGTCCAACAACTAGTTAAGGTAACAACTTAAGGTAAACTGGTTGTTTAAATAAATCTATTTGTATTTCACTGAAAACCTCCATGTTAAAAAACATCCCTTTAAAAACCTTTGGCCATTGTGTCTAGCGCCTTCAAAAGCGCTGTTAAGATGCTTTAAAAAGTCAAGTTGAAAACTCTCTAACGTTTAAAGTCCCCCTGTAGTCAATAATTGTATCCCTTAAAACTCATATTTTAACACCAAAATTACATATTTAAAGTCCTTGAAAAAACATTTCTTCATGCCTTAACATAGCTTGAATGTAACTCTTCACCCTTGCCTCATTTAGTATACGCGATTCTATGACTCCACTCACTCACACCAGCTCAGAGATCCACTCTTTGACGATCACACGTGGACCTGATTGGTTACAAGGTAGTTTGTGCCGTCAGAAACACCAGTGATTTCAAACTGCGTTTTTTAGGCCTTGTCCACACGGACACGGGTGTTTTTATAACTGGAGTTTTTCCTCCTGCGTTTAAAAAAGAAATCCCGTCCACATGAAAACGCAAAAACACGCTATCAAGCGCCGTCAAGAGCCACACCAGCAGGCGCCGATATAACCCTAACCATAAAGCCACGTTGGCCAATCAGAAGCCTAACAAAAAGTTATTACAGGTTCCGGTAGGCGGATAACAGCGCACAATCTGACGTCGCAAGGCAAAAACCCCGGTTTTACTGTCTACACGACAACACTGTAACCGGCGTTTCTGAAAATCCTCACCCTGGCAGGGGTTTTCAAAAATGTTCGGTTTCAGTGACCTGATACTGCGTTTCCGTGTGGACGAACGGCCAAACCGCGTAAAAAAAGTCACGGTTATAAAAATACCCGTGTCCGTGTGGACAAGGCCTTAGTCTGTCTTTGGTTCACTGCAGTTTTATGGAGAATTTTTTTTAAAATAGCAATGGTGTTGACATGAATTTGCACATGGTTTGTCTTAAAGCATATTAAAAGCACCACATAGATAAACAACATTAAAAGATTGGTTTTCACCACTGGGGGACTTTAACAATCCCTTGCATTCGGATCCATTCCTTTGTGCTCCATTAAGCTTCTTTTTGAAGCATACTTATACAAGGCTTCCTCGAGATGATTAGTTGACTAGTTTTCAAATGTAGTTGACATCTACTTAAACTGCGGCGTTTAGTTATTATGTAAAGTGCTGCGAGAAAAGCCTATACATCTAAACATCTCGTCACGCGCAGTATAGCCAACATTTTTTACTTTTGAAAAATGAATTTCACCAAATGGTTGATGACAAATGGCAAATGAAAAATGGTTGGTGAAATTCATTTTTCAACAGTAAAAAATAACTGAAGTAACCCTGTTACTTGTGTTGAAATTATAAAATGTTGTGATTTTATTGCCATCAAGAGGTGCATCAGTTTTTAGTCAAGATCTTGTATTGTCAATGCAAGAGTCCAGCACTCTGTAAAGTCTCCTCCAGCACATCCCAAAGACTTGCAATGAATTTAAGGTCTAAACTCAGAGGAGCATCAGTTCATGTGTGAAAATGATTCATCATGCAACCATTCTTTCTTTCACAGTTTGAGCCTGATGAATCTTGACATTGTCATCCTGGAATATGGCCATGATGTGTCACATGGTTGTTTAAGAAATGAAAAGCTACACACTCCATCAATTAGGGTAAGAAGAACTGTTGCCAAACATATAATAATAATAATAATAATAATAATAATAATTCATTACATTTATATAGCGCTTTTCTCGGCACTCAAAGCGCTTTACATAGAAGGGGGGGATCTCCTCAACCACCACCAATGTGCAGCATCCACCTGGATGATATAACATGCTAGAAACATAATCACTGCAATAGTGATCCAGTCATAGACTCTTAAGCATTTGCCTATTTAAATCCAAACAGTGTAAATCCAAACAATGTATAACAACTGAACATGTCAATAATTAAAGACCACATGATAAGAGTAATAATACATTTCTGCAATGTGTTCAATGTTGAATCTTAATGATGAGCTCATATAGAGCTCATGTTGATTTGTAGATGAATAGCAATATATATTTCAAATGCCAGATTTATGCTATTGATCATGCCCATTGATATTTATTTCCCGATGACTCTAGCAGAGTTTGGAGGAGGCCGCTGGCCTGATGCCAGGTCATGCTGGGGAGACGCTCTGACGCCATCCTGCTGAGATCCGGTAGGATTACTGTTTACATTGAGCTCCATGGGAAATGGCTTTCATTGAGGGTGTGTGTGCTACAGTGCTAAGTCATACACACACACTGTAATCCAAGAGCCATTAACCGCTGCATGTGATGATGGATAGACTCTGTCTAATGAAGCATAATTGACTCCAGATGTGTGACTCACCCGGTGTGTTTACTAACTGCTCACTCGCACAAACAGCAATACACAAAGAACAATGGCAATAAAGCTTCTGATGCATTCTTGGTAGATTGAAGACATTGTTGCATAATCATTTTGATAACACCTGAGTTTAACATTAATCAAGTGCAGGATATTCAAATCAACCTTCTTATGCAGAATGTAAATGTTAGTTACAATACAGTGGCCACAGAAAGCACGTGTACGCGATGGTCTTATTTCAAAGTTTTTTTGAATGTCATTGCATTACATAACAAAATATCTAAATAAGTGGAATTTTACAATGAAATATAACACAATTAGACTTTTCTAGTAAAACATTTGATATTAAAATATTAGGTTTAAAATTATATAAAGAAAATATTTAAATAATGTGAATCAATTGTTTGCAGATGCCACTTGGTTTGATGTTTTTTTTTAAATCAAATTAGTGACAATCAGGCATTTTCATGGCTGACTTGAAAATCCACAAACACATTTTTTCTCATCCGTGGAAAACAAAAGAAGATATTATGAAAAGTGTCTGTTTTTTGTCCCTAAAATAAAAATGATCCTAGAATAACAACAATCTTTACCACTTAAGTGCAAAAACCGTTGAAACTTTGGGGGATAGAATATACAGTTTGTACAGTATAAAAATCAGTGTGTCTAAGTCTCCATAAAACATTTAAACTCAACGTGTGTGTGTGTGTGTGTGTGTGTGTGTGTTGCTGTGAATTCTACCTTTAAGTGCATAGTTTCTAAAGTCATAAATACATTGAGCACAAGCCTTCTAATCAAACCGGTGTATGTTATACCATTGCTAATATTTATATAAACGTAAATGCAAATGGAAATACCTATGATAATGAAGGTCTTGTCCATGAATGTCTTATCTGAGGAGGGAAGAAATCTTGTATGTTTTATGGTCTGCTAATTTCATTGCGTGTCCTTATTTCTGAGTTAAGAGAACCTATTCCACAGCTGTTCTGCACCTGTTCATGTTCCTCAATAAACCTTTATTATAACCTTTGAGGATTCATTTCACTGCATCATAGATGGAGCAATAAAAACCCTTATAGACATATGATACGGGAAGACAAAGACAACGTGCATGCATAGAAAGCTACATGAAAGCAAACGATCGGAAAAGGGAAGTCGTGAATAAATGTTCCCATGGGAGCATCAGTTCCAGTATTGACTAAGAGGAGCAGGCTTCAGTACGGTTAAGCTGATCTATACTTAAAGAAACTACGTTTGTTGCGGTACCAATCGAGTACTTGGGTAAATGTAACTCCAGTAAAAGTACAATCATTTATTTTTAATATTACTTGAGTACAAGCAAAAGTACAAAAAGTCTTCAAGCTTTATTTAATTTTTTCATTTTATTACCAAAACTCATCATACATTACTTATCATTTAATATACACTTTCACAGCATATTTACACAGTTTAACAGACAGTCATGATTTTCATTTGTAATAATCAATACTAAAATCCAGCATTAGTAACTTACTTTTTACGTCATTCAAGCTCTATTCCGAGTTCATTTTGACCAGATCATTTACTGCAATCGGATCAGGCAGATTCGTGATTTCTGAACCAATTCAACAGGTTCTTTGGAAAGAATAGTCTCATTCACGAATCGGACATTGCCTCGTTTTGGCTGTAGTTTGCCATATAATTTTTGTTAGATAAATACCTTAATTTATCTAACAAAATGAGTCTTAAAACTACTTTTTATAATTTGGCGTTAAATTCCGTATGAGAGCTGTTGGTTTTAAGTTTCTATTATCTTCTTGTGTTTTAATGTTCTTGCTTTTTGTTATGTTATTGTTTTATTTTTGCTTGTACAGCACTTTGGTATTCCCTCGGGTTTTTAAAAAGTGCTATATAAAGAAACATTGAGTTGAGTTAACCGAGTTGTTTTTTTTCTTCCCATATATTTAAAATATTAGTTGAGCGTATAGGACTTGATTAGTACTATCCTGTCCTATACGCTCAACTAATATTTAAAATTTGAGCAAAGATGTTAAATATCCTCTTCCCTCATATTTAAAATTTTAAATATACATGTAAAATATTGTCCTTAAAAACAAAAAAACTACTGTAATTCATCTCACAACCTTTGTGCTAGACATGAACGATACCTCAAACTGTGGCTCGTGTGAAAGGTTCCTACAACTCTATGAGTGATCGAACTTCCAATTTCTGCCTGGAAGACAGTCAAACATGCACCTAGAAACCACAGACTGCCTAGCAACAACCTCTCAACAAGTTAACAACAACCCAGAGCACCTCAGAATTGTGGCTGCGGGTTTTGCACAGGCAAGGAACACTTGCATAACTCAGATAAAACAAAAGTCTGGTAATTATCATAATACCACAAAATTGTCTTCAAATCACAACAGAGTATTGTGAGAGAATCCCATCTGAGCTGGATTAATGTGTAGCGGCAGATGTGATGCGTAATTCTAATGAGGTTTTGTTTTGAGGGGATGATGGGAGATTTGCCGGCATGTTTTGAATCTCCCACCCATGCAGCTCTTCAAGTCTTTCACGTGTTTTACTGACAACAGAGAACAAAGACGTCTTATCCGCTGCCAAGAGAGTGTGTGTCTTTATTGAACTCTCTCTGTCTCTCGCCGTTCTCATTTTGCAACTGCTGCAGTGTGTCGTTTTTTTAACATCCATCAATCAGCTGTCGCATGCCTCGTGTCAACCAACACTGTGCTAATGGCAATGTCTTATGGGATTTTATGGCCAGAGCAAAGTATCCACAAAATGTTATCTCCTCAGGAATTTATGGGACATAATGAAAAAGTCAAATACAAACTTATCAATCTGTCTTCAAACACTCACTTTAGTGCAAAATGACATTAGCAAAGAAAAAGATGAACCGATAGGCTAGTGGAGGATAAAAACACATGCAATAAACTCATTAAGCTAGCTAGTCTCTGAGCTGCCTGCCATCCCTGCAGTTTTTCAATTTGTGTCTTCAAAGAAATTTTTTAGGCAAAATGAAATCATTATTTACTCACCCTCCAAATCAGTATGCTGCCATGGTCACTACAAGACCTAAAAAGAGCTGTGTTGAATATTTCTTTTCAAAATATGTATTATTATTATGCATTCATCATTTTGGGGGCTAAAAAAACTTCAACACCCATAATCCACCACAAGTCTGCTAATAATAAGGTTGCCAGAGTCAAATACCGCCTTGTTTTTGTAGGAAATACTACTTGGCAAACTTTTAGTCATGATGGTGTCCACTTGTATTGTTTCCGGGTGCAATGCTTTGGTCTGGGTGTATTTCTTTTGCCATGGAAACAGAAATTTTGTTTGCGGGTGAGTGACCATAGTAACATTAAGGCCTGTTCACACCGGGACGAATTTCGCGCGCGATATTCGCCGACGTTTAACGCCTCGTGACTAAACAAAGGGCTCCAATGTGAGTGTGCACACCGACACGGAAAACGCCACGCGTAAAAGCGTCATTTTTAAAAAAAAACGCCTCGGGTTCGTTTTTTTGGTTTGACGCGTCAAAAACTATCCGACCAATGAGATTGTCGCTTTTGCTCACTTGTCTGGAGCTTCTGAAGTTACAGTAAAATACAACTTGGGGGCGCTCAAACAAAAAACGGTCTTGCCGAGCACACATACGTAACGGCGAAGAAGATATACGCCAAGTAGCGTCTACACTGCCGGGAAGAAATAAGACGAGGAAGATGCAAGGCAAGATGAATGTAGAGCTGCTCTCGTTGGTGTCGGAACATAAATACTTGCTCTCTTCTTCTGAGTGACAAGCGAGTGTCAGAAAGTTGCGCAGCGCCACCTTGTGTACCGGGGTATTTCTTTTTTACATTAAGCACCATCTAATGTCAGGGAATGAATTGGCATGTTCACTCGGCTCATCGTCAGGGAAAATCGCTTGGGTGTGAACACAAAAAACGCGTTGAAAAACGCTGGCGAATAACGCGCGCCGATATTCGTCCCGGTGTGTACGGCCCTTTTGACTTCTGCAGTGTTTTCTATTTAGATCAGGATTTTATCATTGTCAAAACATAATTGCTTAAAATATTTAAATAGTAAATATAGTGGCCAAGAGTGATGTCCGGAAGGGGATATTTGTTTTTAATGAACATTCAAGTTTGATTAAAACATCAAAATATGAGGAAAATATTTTATGTTTTTTATTATTTTAAATATGAGGGAAGAACAAAACACTAAACTTGGTTATGGTATTTATCTGTCAAAATTATTGGGGGAAAAAGAAGGCAAACTACAGCTACAGGTTGCAAAAAAAAGGGCATAAAAACAAAAGGCTCACAGGAAAAGGCATACAATGACTATAACAACACAGTCAGTTATTAATATTGCATGTGTTCATCATTTCTTTGTATGATAGCTTGTCCAAAAATTCCCGCACATTTTGTTTCATTGTGTTATCACAACTAAAATGATCGACTCCAAGCACAACAATGATACAAAATCTTACAAAAAAAAAAAAAAAAAAAAAAAAAAAAAGTATAATATCTGAATAAAGAGTGAAAATGTGAAAAGACATCACTTTGGGCCACTACTGCATATGAAGGGGGTAGTATTTTTTTGCAAGCTTAAATAATGTATTAATTCAAAATGAACTAAAAACTTATTGAAATATAATATATGGTAAAATATAAGACTATGCATTTCTGTATAATCAGTCATAGAAATTCAATTTAAATTATTTTTGAATAATTTGAATTAATTAAAAATTGGGCAAAGATATTTTTTTGCAAGATTGATCACATTTCTCAAAAATAATGATAGATTCCTGAATTGATTTAGTTC